AAATATTAAATGATAAATAGTATAAATAAATAAATATATATGTTGCATCCGTTTACGAAATGACGTTTTGATCGGATTGGCTTCAGACAGTCGTTTACGAACTAAGCTCTTTGTAAACAGACGTTCAAATCCGATCTGGAAGTCCGATCGATCCGTTTACGAGCGTTATTTCAGATCGGATTCAGATCGGATTGGATTCAGGCATCCGTTTACGAACCAAGCTCTTTGTAAACAGATCTCCAAATTCGATCTAGATCACATCCGTTTAAGAGCGTTAGTTCAGATCGGATTCAGATCGGATCGGCTTCAGACATCCGGTTACGAACTAAGCTCTTAAGTTTGTTAACAGACCTCCAAATCCGTTCTGGACGTCCGTTTACGAACCAACGTTCGGATCAGATCGGATTCAGACAGTCGTTTACGAACTAAGCTCTTTGTAAACAGACCTCCAAATCCGATCTGGACGTCAATTTACCAACTAACCTTCAGATCGAATTCAGAAATCCGTTTACGAATCAAGCGCTTTGTAAACAGACGTCCAAATCCGATCTGGACGTCCGTTTACGAACGAACGATCAGCTCGGACCTAGACATCCGTTTACGAATCAAGCTCTTTCTAAACAGACCTCCAAATCCGATCTGGACGTCCGTTTACGAGCGTTAGTTCAGATCGGATTCAGAAATCCGTTTACGAATCAAGCTCTTTGTAAATAGACGTCCAAATCCGATTTGGCCGTCCGTTTACGAACGAACGATCAGCTCAGACCTAGACATCCGTTTATAAACCAAGCTCTTTGTAAACAGACGTTCAAATCCGATTTGGTCGTCTATTTACGAACTAACGATCAGCTCGGACCTAGACATCCGTTTATGAACCAAGTTCTTTATTAACAGACCTCCAAATCCGATCTAGACGTCCGTTTACGAACTAAGCTTAAATGCTAACTTGATTTTAATAGAACTCAGGCTATAAGGTTTTCGATAAGGTTAATAGAACCTTATCGAAAATAGAAAATTTCGCAATTGTTAATCCAGCATAATTTTGCGCATTTTAGTTGGATTCCAACGCTTTTATAGCTATCATTTTTTCAATTTAGAGGACGTTGATCATTTTTTTGATCGTTGATCATTGACCATCATCAGCAATCTACATTTTTTATCGTTTTAGTTTGTTAATGGAATGGCCAACATTTCCTTAATAAAGGTTGCATCCTTAATAAAAAAAATGGGTTAAATGCTTATCAAAAAGTAAAATTTTATCTAAAATTGAAAAATTGATCAGATAGTGAGGAAGGTTTCTAAGAGAAAATTATGAAAAAAGAAAAAAAAGCCGAAAAATAGATCTAAAATGCTTGAAGTTTAATTTTAATTCGTAAACGGACGTCAGAATAGGATCTAAAGATTAGTTTGGTTCATAAACGGACGTCTGAATCGGATCTAAAAGTTTGCTTCGTAAACGGACGTCCAAAATCGATCTAAAGATTAGTTTGGTTCGTAAACGGGCGTCTGAATCCGATCTAAAGCTAGGTTTAGTTTGTAAACGGACGTCCGAATAGGATCTAAAAGTTTAGTTCATAAACGGACGTCCGAAACTGATCTAAAGCTTAGTTTAGTTCGTAAACGGGCGTCTGAATCGGATCTAAAAGTTTGCTTCATAAACGGACGTCCGAATCCGATCTAAAGCTAAGTTTAGTTCATAAACGGACGTCCGAAACCGACCGAAAGCTAAGTTTAGTTCATAAACGAACGTCTGAATCGGATCTAAAAGTTTGCTTCGTAAACGGACGTCCAAAATCGATCTAAAGATTAGTTCGGTTCATAAACGGACGTCCGAATCCGATCTAAAGCTAAGTTTAGTTCATAAACGAGCGTCTGAATCCGATCTAAAAGTTTGCTTCATAAACGGACGTCCGAATAGCATCTAAAGATTAGTTTGATTCGTAAACGGACGTCCGAATCCGATCTAAAGCTAAGTCTACTTCATAAACGGACGTCCGAAACCGATCTAAAAGTTTACTTCATAAACGGGCGTCCGAATAGAATCTAAAGATAAGTTTACTTCATAAACAGACCGAATCCGATCTGAAACTTAGTTCGTAAACGGATTTAACACATAGATTAGGTTGGCGACATTGAAATTTCACTTGTTAGCAATAAAAAAATTGATTCATAAAAATAAACTAGAAACAATAAATCAAGAATACATTCCCCACAGCTATCAATCAAATTTTTCCATCATTGACGCAAATTATGAATTCCCTCTTGAAAGAATTGTGCTGGTTTTGATTGAAAGAAAGCAGAGATCTATTTTTTGATGTTGTCAATTTTCTGGAACCTTTTCTTTTTTCTTTTTCTTTTTCTGGAACTTGTGGCGAAAATTTGTAGAGAAAAGGAACCAAATTTGTAGAAAAAAGGAACCAATTCTGCATATAAAGGAACCAATTTTGTAGAGAAAAGGAACCGTTTTCACATTTGTGATTTCAATTTGATAAATTTCAATAAATTTCAATCTGATAAAGGTTATTCGATTTAAGCCTAGATAGCCTTGTTAAGCCTAGAAAGTCTAGAAAGCCTTTAAGCCTAGCCTAGAAAGCCTAGAAAGCCTTTAAGCCTAGCCTAGAAAGCCTTTAAGCCTAGAAAGCCTAGATAGCCTTGTTAAGCCTAGAAAGTCTAGAAAGCCTTTAAGCCTAGCCTAGAAAGCCTTTAAGCCTAGCCTAGAAAGCCTTTAAGCCTAGCCTAGAAAGCCTTTAAGCCTAGAAAGCCTAGATAGCCTTGTTAAGCCTAGAAAGTCTAGATAGCCTTGTTAAGCCTAGAAAGTCTAGAAAGCCTTTAAGCCTAGCCTAGAAAGCCTTTAAGCCTAGCCTAGAAAGCCTTTAAGCCTAGCCTAGAAAGCCTTTAAGCCTAGAAAGCCTAGATAGCCTTGTTAAGCCTAGAAAGTCTAGATAGCCTTGTTAAGCCTAGAAAGTCTAGATAGCCTTGTTAAGCCTAGAAAGTCTAGATAGCCTTGTTAAGCCTAGAAAGTCTAGAAAGCCTTTAAGCCTAGCCTAGAAAGCCTTTAAGCCTAGAAAGCCTAGATAGCCTTGTTAAGCCTAGAAAGTCTAGATAGCCTTGTTAAGCCTAGAAAGTCTAGAAAGCCTTTAAGCCTAGCCTAGAAAGCCTTTAAGCCTAGAAAGCCTAGATAGCCTTGTTAAGCCTAGAAAGTCTAGATAGCCTTGTTAAGCCTAGAAAGTCTAGATAGCCTTGTTAAGCCTAGAAAGTCTAGATAGCCTTGTTAAGCCTAGAAAGTCTAGATAGCCTTGTTAAGCCTAGAAAGTCTAGATAGCCTTGTTAAGCCTAGGAGGTCTAGAAAGCCTTTAAGCCTAGCCTAGAAAGCCTTTAAGCCTAGCCTAGAAAGCCTTTAAGCCTAGAAAGCCTAGATAGCCTTGTTAAGCCTAGAAAGTCTAGATAGCCTTGTTAAGCCTAGAAAGTCTAGATAGCCTTGTTAAGCCTAGAAAGTCTAGATAGCCTTGTTAAGCCTAGGAGGTCTAGAAAGCCTTTAAGCCTAGCCTAGAAAGCCTTTAAGCCCAGCCTAGAAAGCCTTTAAGCCTAGAAAGCCTAGATAGCCTTGTTAAGCCTAGAAAGTCTAGATAGCCTTGTTAAGCCTAGAAAGTCTAGAAAGCCTTTAAGCCTAGCCTAGAAAGCCTTTAAGCCTAGAAAGCCTAGATAGCCTTGTTAAGCCTAGAAAGTCTAGATAGCCTTGTTAAGCCTAGAAAGTCTAGATAGCCTTGTTAAGCCTAGAAAGTCTAGAAAGCCTTTAAGCCTAGCCTAGAAAGCCTTTAAGCCTAGAAAGCCTAGAAAGCCTAGAAAAGGAAATTATGGCTTAAAAAATGTCAATCATTAGCTCACGCCTCCGTTTTCTCTTTGCAAATCGAGCGTTTTCGGCAATTTGTGCCATTGCGTCGTCGAAATCCTTCTTCTCCCGCTCTAATCATCAAACAAACCCCTTTCCACTCCGACTGATCGCTCGATGTGACGTTTTTTCTTCCTCTTTCTTCCTCTTTCTTCCAAGAAATTGATATTTTGTCTTATTTTGTCTTTATTTTGTCTTTACTTTCCGTAGAAATGTCTTTGATTTAAAAATGAGTCTTTTAAGGCTTTGAACTTTCACTAAACTTCCATTAAACTTCCATTAGGCTTTCTCTTTCTTTCTTTAGCTTCCTTTCTTTAGCTTCCTTTCTTTAGCTTCCTTTCTTTAGCTTCCTTTCTTTAGCTTTGTTTCTTTAGCTTTGTTTCTTTAGCTTTGTTTCTTTAGCTTTGTTTCTCTTCCTTTCTCTTTCTTCCTTTCTCTTTCTTCCTTTCTCTTTCTTCTTTAGCTTCCTTTCTTTAGCTTCCTTTCTTTAGCTTTCTTTCTTTAGCTTCCTTTCTTTAGCTTCCTTTCTTTATCTTTCTTCTTTAACTTCCTTTCTTTAGCTTTCATCCTTTAGCTTTCTTTCTTTTCTAACTTGCTCTTCTAACTTGCTTCAAATCTACCGGATTCACATGATCTATAGCTTAAAAAATAGAGAATCTAAAGAGCTTTCGAATGAACAAAAGCACACTGAAAAAGCATAATTTTAAAGAAGACTACAGTGGTTTATAGTCGAAATTAACCGTAGTCAAAGTGATCCCTCTACAAGCCACTGTAACTTTTCTTAGAATTCATATTTTTCAGCATGCTTTCATTCATTCGAAAGCTCTTGAGATTGGCTATCTTTTGAGCTATAGATCATCTTAATCAGTTAGACTTGAAGCAAGTTATAAGCGTTTGTAATCGAAGCTTTTGTTTTAGGCTATAACTTTCTTTAGAATTCATATTTTTCAGCATGCTTTAGCTCATTCGAAAGCTCTTTAGATTCTCTATTTTTTAAGCTATAGATCATGTGAATCCGGTAGATTTGAAGCAAGTTGGGAAGAGTTTTTAGCGTTTTTAGTGTGACAGTTTGTCATTTTTATAGTTTATAGTGCTTATCTTTAATTTACAGGTAGCAGTCGCGAGCGCTCTCTTCGACAACGAGAGCGAATACCCGAACGAGCTCGCCTTCAAACAGGGAGACACACTCAGGATCGTTGATAACGGTTTGGATTGGAATTAAGTTATAAAAGTGATAAGGTTCCCTAGTAGTTGGATCCCTAGTAGTGCACCTTAAGGTTTGCCTAAATTCCTTGAAATCTCGAGAACCGATTATCAGAACCTATCGATATGGGTAGCTGACGGTAGCTGACGTAGCTGACGTAGAGGTAGCTGACGATGAGATCTAGTGGGGGATTTGAGTGTTGAGGTTCTGGGAAAGCTTAGAAACCCTAAAATGACTATCAACTCGGCTACTATTAGGAAAAATATCGGCTCTTGCGTAGTTTACGGGTATTTTGAAAGAAATCGGGTGTTTTGAAAGAAATCGGGTGTTTTAAAAGAATATTTCGAACGGGTGGTCGCACTTTGAAAGCCTATAACTTTGTCTAGAGATCATATTATTCCTAACCTTTTATATCATTGAATAGAGAACATTTTAGGCTTTCAAATGATACCAAATAGAGCTTGATTGGATAATCGAGTCCAAGAAAAGTTTGAAAGAATCCGAGTGTTCTGGAAAAATCCAGGATTTTGACCGAGTCGTCAGACTTTGAAGGCATATAACTTTGTCTAGAGATCAGATTTTCAGTAGCTTTTTATATCATTTGATAGGAGAATTTTTAGGCTTTCAAATGATACTAAATAGAGCTTAATTGGATAATCGAGTCCAAGAAAATCAAAGCCAACTCGGAGCAAATGGTCATTCCGACTTGCCTGTCTTGGCATCAGATTTACATGGGAAAGAAAAATCCAATCAAGCTTTATTTGGTATCATTTGAAAGCCTGAAATGTCCTCTGTACAATGATTACAATGACTCGTGAAAGTATGATCTCTAGACAAAGTTATAGGCCTTCAAAGTGTGACGACTGGTTCAAAATCCACACCCGAGTCGAATAGACCATTTGCTCAGAGTTGGCGCTGATTTTGTTAGACTCGATTATCCAATCAAGCTCTATTTGGTATCATTTGAAAGCCTAAAATGTCCTCTATTGAATGATATAAAAAGTTAGGAATAATATGATCTCTAGACAAAGTTATGGGCTTTCAAAGTGTGACAATCCGTTCGAAATACTAGGATTCTTTCAAAATACCCGGAAACTAAATATCTTATATCTTAAAAAGAGCCAAAAGATCTTATATCTTAAAAGAAAAACTCTAAATGCTTAAAACTTCAGGCAGTGACGTCGACGGTTGGCTGTTGTGCGTGGATGTGAAAGGGAAACGCGGTTTTGCGCCAGCGAATCGTCTCAAAGTCATGAATCGTTTCGAGAATGATCCAGTGAGTTAAAAATGATCTGAAGAATGATCTGAAGAATCTTCTAAAGAATCATCTGAAGATTTGTAATTTGTTTTATTGTGTACTCTTAGCGTAGCTTTTGGATTTTTATATTCTTTGAAGTCTCGCGGTAATCACTAACCTTTTCCTCTCGTTTTCTGATGTTCAAAGTCGCTTCAAAGTCGTTCTAAAGTCTTTTCGATTCCTTCGATTTCTTCGTTGGCAAAACGTTTCTTTAAAAGTCTTTAAAAGATTACAGTAATCAAGAAAGTCAAGAAAGTACGGTAGTCAAGAATAAAGTGGCAATTAAACTGTCTAGCAAGTCTTTTCGTTTCTTTTCCTTTCTTTTTGTACTTTCTTTTACTTCCTTTTCCTTCCTTTTCCTTCCTCTTACTTCCTTTTACTTCCTACGGCTTATTTCATTAGAAAACCCAATAATTTTCCCACAAAATAGCACTAAAACGGGTTTAAAATGTGTTAAAAATGAGTCTTTTTGAGAGCATAAAGTTTGGTAGTTAAAAAGTCGACTCGATTTAGGCGTTTTTGACCATTTAACTCAAGCAAACCTATCTTCATGTCAATAGATAAAAGATAGAGCATAAAAGGCTTGGTATTATTCGTTCCTAGGTATAAACGGATGTGGACTAGAATTTGGGTTAAGTTAAAGAGAGTGGATTCCTTTTGATATCCCGCCATCTCTAACACCCCGACAACCCAACTCAACTCCTCCAACGTATTAGAGGGGAGTCCCTGTGAAATGACCGACCTGTGCTGCAGTTGCATAGACCCGGAAGCTATGTATCTTTATTTACAGTAGTATAATGAGACGAATAGATTACAAATAAATGTAAGGGGAAGGGGGACTCCAAATGAGAGTCTCACTTGTCCTCCTAGGCTCCTCACTGTCCTCCTAGGCTTCTCACTGTCCCCCTAGGCTCCTCACTGTCCTTCTAGGCTCCTCATTGTCCTCCTAGACTCCTCACTGTCCCCCTAGGCTCCTCACTGTCCTTCTAGGCTCCTCACTGTCCTCCTAGGCTCCTCACTGTCCTTCTAGGCTCCTCACTGTCCTCCTAGGCTCCTCACTGTCCTCCTAGGCTCCTCACTGTCCTCCTAGGCTCCTCACTGTCCTTCTAGGCTCCTCACTGTCCTCCTAGGCTCCTCACTGTCCTTCTAGGCTCCTCATTGTCCTCCTAGGCAATCCCAAGGCCTCAGTTGTCCTCCTAGGCAATCCCAAGGCCTCACTTGTCCTTCTAGGCAATCCCAAGGCCTCACTTGTCCTCCTAGGCAATCCCAAGGACCGCCCCTTCTCGGCAATAAAAGGGATAAGCACAGGGGAGGACACATTTGCATAAGAATAGACAAATCATTCAATAATAACAATAGTAACTAAAATATCCGTTTGGCTCCGAGCTGACAGTATATAGCTAAATTTTCAGAGAAATTGCTTCAGCCAATTTCTTTATAGAGGTTTTTCAGATTTTCGTTATCGCATCTGGATTTTGCTTTTTGGAAATCGATCTAAATTGACTTAAAAGGATGGAAATTGAAATAAATAAACACAGTTAAATAAGCACTAGGTGAATCCATGAATTTGTTATTTTTCAAAGTAGGAAAAGAGTTTCTGGACAGCTGGAAACTCAATGTCCATTTTGCAAAACATTTTGCCGCCAGCAGGGGTCGAACCTGCGACCTTGGGCTATCTATCGAGTATTAGACCCACGCTCTAACCGACTGAGCTATGGCGGCACGGCGGCAAGGGGGAAAATTGGGGATGAAAAGGGCTGGGTCGTCGATTTTTCCTTTTATATACTTGAAATCACGAAGGTTGCGCCAAATGAAATTGCGCTTTACCAGAGCTTTCACTTTGTGCGAGTCTGATATCAAATTGTAGCCCTTGAAATGGGCTACACGATGGTTTAAGAAACTTTTAGAAAAACTGTTGTTTATTACAAGAAAAAATGGCCGCAAAGTGAGAGCCGCTTAACATAAGGCTTGAGACTTTAAATTCCGGGAATTTTTCTGTAAAAATGCCGGGTTTTCCCTTTTTTTCTTTTCTGAACAAGCATGAACGCACTTATCTAACAAAAGAGGGAATCTAGGGTGAGAAAAGAATATCATTCCAATCGATTTCTTAGATTCTCATCAATTTCACATCTTTTCTTCAGAAATTGTTGAGAAATTGGTTTAGAAATCATTTCAGAAAACATTTATTGTTCAAAAAAGTTCAGAAATCTTTGAGAAAGACTAGAAGAAGTGGCTTCTAGAAGACTAGAAGTGCACTAGAAGCTCTGTGTTTCCAATTTTTGACTCTAAAGTACTCTTTCCATCCAATTTTCACTATTTTCCTTCCAATTTCTTTCTTTTAGGCTTATTAGGATGTATTTTATATAAAAGTAAACGTAAAATGTAAACACACGCTTTCTAGTGCATTGAATTCTTCAATTTTCCTTAGCAATATACACCATTGAGTTCTCAGCGGTGCGCTGAATGGAGTGCGCTGAATGGAGTGCGCTGAATGGAGTGCGCTGAATGGAGTGCGCTGAATGGAGTGCGCTGAATGGAGTGCGCTGAATGGAGTGCGCTGAATGGAGTGCGCTGAATGGAGTGCGCTGAATGGAGTGCGCTGAATGAAGGGCGCTAAATGAAGGGCGCTAAATGAAGGGCGCTAAATGAAGGGCGCTAAATGAAGGGCGCTAAATGAAGGGCGCTAAATGAAGGGCGTTAAATGAAGGGCGTTAAATGAAGGGCGCTAAATGAAGGGCGCTAAATGGAGTGCGCTAAATGAAGGGCGCTACATGAAGGGCGCTACATGAAGGGCGCTACATGAAGGGCGCTACATGAAGGGCGCTAAATGAAGGGCGCTAAATGAAGGGCGCTAAATGAAGGGCGTTAAATGAAGGGCGCTAAATGAAGGGCGTTAAATGAAGGGCGCTAAATGGAGTGCGCTAAATGAAGGGCGCTACATGAAGGGCGCTACATGAAGGGCGCTACATGAAGGGCGCTAAATGGAGTGCGCTAAATGGAGTGCGCTAAATGGAGCGCGGCTCGCAGTCTCGCAAGGAAAATGAAGAATTGAGTGTGTTCATAGTTATGAAGATGCTAGAAAGGGTGTGTTTACGTTTTTTTGGAGTACAAAGTACGCAAATTCATTGAGGTTGAACCCTTTTTCAAACACTTTTCAAACACCTTTCTTCCCTAATCGATTCTTTTCCATTTCCCATTATTCTCCGGCTGATTTTCCGTCTTTTCTCAAGGATGACTTATCAGCCTTTTCCCCGGATCAATTCTTGATTTCATTTTTTTATTTGAATCGCTTTTTCATGTCATTTTCATTTCATTTCTTTTCTTTTTCATTTCTTTTACATTTTCTTATACTCTTCCAGGCGTCACTCTTCATTTTTAACTTAAAAAAAGCTCGCCTTTTTGATTGAAAGGCAATTTAGAAGGAGTTGTTTGAGTTGTTGTTTGAATTTGATTTGTTTGAATAATTTATTACCATAAATACTGTAATATAAGAGCATCAAACTGTACAGTCGTGTAGTCAATCTTTTTTTCAAAGCCTCAACCTCAGCCTGAACCTCAGCCTGAACCTCAGCCTGAACCTCAGCCTGAACCTCAGCCTGAACCTCAGCCTGAACCTCAGCCTGAACCTCAGCCTGAACCTCAGCCTGAACCTCAGCCTGAACCTCAGCCTGAACCTCAGCCTGAACCTCAGCCTGAACCTCAGCCTGAACCTCAGCCTGAACAGTCTGGTTGGAGCCAAAACTCCAACCAGAATTTTAGCATTAAAAATACTAGATTTCAAAGGCTATCGTTTGACACCAAAACGCAGATTGTAGCATAAAGGAACGCGGAGAAATCAGTGTTTAAAGTTTGACTACGCAACTGTACGGTCGTAATTACGGTAATTATGGCCTCCTATACAGCAGAATCTGATGACTTTCTTCCTTTCTTTCCATCTTTCTTCCTTCTCTCTTTCTTCCTTTCTTCTTCCAACTTGTCTTTCCTTCTTTCTCTAGGCAAGTTAAGGTAAGGGATAGCTTATTGGTTAGAGCAATTGGTCGACGGTTCAATCTCCAGAAAACAAGAAGTCAAGGGTTCAATCCCCTTTCCAGAAATCTCCTTTTTCTTATCAATTACTTTACTTTTATATTACCACCCAAATTGGACCGCTAAGACCCAAACTGGACCACTAAGACCCAAACTGGACCACTAAGACCCAAATTGGACCACTAAGACCCAAATTGGACCACCAAGACCCAAATTGGACCACCAAGACCCAAATTGGACCACTAAGACCCAAATTGGACCACTGAGACCCAAATTGGACCACTAAGACCCAAATTGGACCACTGAGACCCAAATTGGACCACTAAGACCCAAACTGGACCACCAAGACCCAATTGACCACTGAGACCCAAATTGGACCACTAAGACCCAAATTGGACCACCAAGACCCAAATTGGACCACTAAGACCCAAATTGGACCACTGAGACCCAAATTGGACCACTAAGACCCAAATTGGCCACCAAGACCCAAATTGGACCACTAAGACCCAAATTGGACTGATACAAGTTATTTGAACTACAAAATCTAAATTTTTCTAAACAAACTGAACAATAAGAATGCTTTTATTATCTAAATAAAAACATTCTATTAATCTAAAAAAAACAATTGATCTATTAAAGCTAAATCTGAATCTGTATCTATTGATCTAATAGTAATCTAAATTATATCTAAATCTAAATCTAAATAATAAATCTAAATCTATTCAATTCATATTATTGGGTTGGGGAGAATGACTCGGCGCCAAACTTTAAAGGGACTTTTTGCACACATAAAGCCTTCTTTAAATATACGTTTGGTTTCATCAAAAGGATCCACTATTTCTCTACAAAATGACTTTTGAGAGATTCCACAAAGCTTTTCTTTCGTGGAGTTTATGGACTCCCAAACACAGCTAGTCAAAATGGCAAAGAGCCCGACTCATCATTTGAACAGTTTCTTTCACATAAACCTTCTTTGGTGTTTATATAAAAAAGATAGAGCACATTCAATTACTTAAGTTGCCAAATTTGCAGGAAGATCCCACCAATGCTTTTTCTAGATCACAGTTTGTAGTTTTTGTGAAAAAATGGCTTTTTCTTGAGCGGAGGCGCTGTTTGAATTTTCTTTTAAATGTGATTTTGTAGAGAATTAGTTAACCATTCTACTCATATCAAACGCATATTATTTGACGAAGTCGAATAGAAGTTTTAGACATTTTTTTGATTTTCGGCGCCGACTCATTCTCCCCAACCCAATAGTATTGAGCTAAACAACTTTTCTCCCATAGATTCTGAAAAAAAAAAATTGAATGACGCACCTTTCTTTATCTATAGAAAACATTATTCATAAGTTTTTTTTTTTTTGAAAAGCTTTAAGTAGAAACCTTTTTCATATCAAATTTGAGTCTTTTTAAAGCGATTTTAATCTATTTAAAGCCATTTTAAGTCGTATTTATTCAAAATTAAACCCCTAAAACCTTTTAGAATTTAGAGTTGTGCTTTGAGCTTGAAAGCAACCCTTTTGGTGCATTGATTGAAGGGAAAAAGTACGGATAAATCTAGCGCAAAGTACAGGATTTAATTTTAGCTTGGAAAAGTTATCTTTATCAATATTTTTGTGCAATAAAAAAGAAATGAGAAAATTTTAAAAATTCTCTATTAAAAAATGTTATAACTTTTTGTAGAGTTGAGCAAATTTGATGATTTTTGCATCAAAATGTTCGTAAGAGTCTCTAGAATAAAACTTATCCCCTCGTTTTTGGTTCTAGACCCTCGTTGTCGAGTTACGAGCTCCAAACTGCAGGGTACTACAAAATTTCCCATACAAAATGACCAAAAAACCGCTAAAGCTAAAATTTCTGTCAGGGGGATTTGAAAAATTCCTTCAGATTCGGAATCAGCACAATTTTCTGCATCTAAAACTCCCAGAGAATCCGATAGAAAATGCATTTTTGCCTTATTTCGCGCCGATGAGAAAACTCATTTTCTGTATTTTTTTTCTTTAAAAAGATAACAGTGTCTTTTTTCTCTTTTTCTTTTTCTTTCTCTTTCTCTTTCTCTTTTTCTTTCTCTCTTTCTTTCTCTTCTCCTTTGTTCTTTGTTTCTTTCTTCATTTCTTAAAGAGATCGCCTAATTGAATCATCGCGCATCCACTCTTTCCTTTTCATTTTTCCCATTTTAACATTACTCATCTTTAAAAAATGAAATGTTTATTTTCAAATAGGAATTTAATTTTTGTTTAGATATTAATTTAATAGTCGTTTAAATATTAATTTAATAGTTTACAGTTTTTTCAACACGCGCACCCGCTTTTCGACGATTTTTTCATGTTTCGAAATGAGGATCGCGGTGCTTTTGATGATCCGTTTTTTGGTGAGAATTTTTGATGAGAATTTTTGATAAGAAAATGTTTTTGCGTAGAAAACTATGCTTTCTGGTGCACTGAATTCTTCATTTTCATATAGAAACATTGATTCTAACATTGATTTCTAACATTGCTGCGCCAGATCATCAAAAAGATCATTACGCCAGATCATTTTCTGGCGCCAGATCGCCAGAAAATGTTCTTGCGTAGAAAATTATCCTTTCTGGTGCACTGAATTCTTCATTTTTCATCTAGAAACATTGATTTCTAACATTGCGGCGCCAGATCACGCGCGTTTATGCGGAAACTCTTTGACTGAGCGAATGGGAAATGAAAATGAAGAAAAGAAATGAAAATGAAAAAGAAAAGAAAGAAAAAATGCGAAAAAGAAGAAGCTGGAAATGTGAAAAATGAAGAATTCAGTGCACCAGAAGAATGCGTTTACAATTTTAAGCATAAAGTACGCGTAAAATAGAGCTCATACATTTCCGGCGGATTAGCTCTATAAGCCGGCGCATTAGCTCTATTTTAAAGTATTTTTTGGTTCAAAGAATAGCTACGGGAGATCGTTTACTTCAGCCTAAAGTTAGTTAGTAAATAAACTAGTTTGTTAGTAGGGTTAGTTAGTAGGGTTTGTTAGTAGGAAAATAGTTATAAACACTAACTAGTTAAAGCCTTAGATCGAGCGCCTCGTCTCTTCTCGGCGAATCCCTCTCGAATGACGTCACCGGCTCCATCGATGACTTCAATTCCAAACGCTGTCCCACCAGTCCGACGGCTTTCTTCGATGAATGACGCCTACCAAGGTGTCGTCAGGAATATCCCAATCCGTCTTGAACAGGTAAACTTTCAAGAAATTCAATTAGTAAGCTATAAGTTGCTCTAGAACTTTGAGACTTACACGGGTAAAATCTGAATGACCTTGTTTTCTCCAGAGAATTCTCAGGATTCCAGTTCTCCTATTTTAGCTGTTGTTTAAGTAATGCAATAGTTTAACGGGATACGGAATTGGTTGCAAAAATGCAGCCGGATTTAAGGTCCAAAACTTTGGCCATAGTAAGAACGACGAAAAAACCAAAAGCGCTAAAGCCAAGCTCACCACTTTTCCCCCCTTAGAGAACTTCAAAAGGGAACACCTATCTATCGAGAAAGTGCGCCAGATGGAGAGCGATTACGCGGCTGCACAAAGAGCATCTTGCTGAATTTACATAGAGATTTCTTTTGCTTTGTAAATGGTACAAAAAGATCTTCAGCGGTAAATTTGTGGCCTGTAAAAGGCTGTAAAAGTCTCTGGGGTTTTCAGGGTCGGCCAACCGATTAGCGCTATTCATTTAGATCAATAGACTCAATAAATTTTATCAATAGCAGCTAAGCTGAGAGAAGAGCATTGCGATAATCGATAATTTTTCAATACAATCGTTTTTGAAAAACCGGGATACTGTAGAAAAATGGAAATTGAGGTTGATCGATGATGGGTATGAGGTCAGGTATGACGGTTATGGGTATAACGGCCATGGGTATGACGGTCATGGGGTATGAAGCCATGGGTAGGAGGCCATGGGTATGAAGCCATGGGTATGACGGTCAGGGGTATGAAGCCATGGGTAGGAGGTCATGGGTATGAAGCCATGGGTAGCAGGTCATGGGCATGAGTTCAGGTATGACGGCCATGGGTCATGAGGTCATGGGTATGACGGTCATGGGTATGAAGCCATGGGTAGGAGGCCATGGGTATGAAGCCATGGGTATGACGGTCATGGGTATGAAGCCATGGGTAGCAGGTCATGGGCATGAAGCCATGGGTAGCAGGTCATGGGTATGAAGCCATGGGTAGCAGGTCATGGGCATGAAGCCATGGGTAGCAGGTCATGGGTATGAAGCCATGGGTAGCAGGTCATGGGCATGAGGTCAGGTATGACGGCTATGGGTCATGAGGTCATGGGTATGACCTGTATCAACAAAAAAACCTGTTAAGCGACCCATTTTCTTTTCTAAAGGTTACTGTAGATTAGAAACTGTTCCAAACAAATTCAAAACGAATCCAATTGGTCTAGTTAGAATAAGATTACTAGTTAGAGTAAGATCACTGGAAATAGAGTAGATTAAAAGCTTGTGCACGGCTCGAACCCGCAACCTTTCACTTATCGGGCAACTGTGCTAACCATTGCACCACAACGCATTCGATTTCCCTTTCTCTAGAGAGAGCAAAGTCTATAAAACTTTACAAAGATTACAAACAAACAACATTACTTTACTAGGCGCTTATCGGGAAGCTTATCGCGTATCGCCTATCGGGGAGTTTATCGCTTATCGGGCAACTTATCGCTTATCGCTTATCGGGAAGCTTATCGCTTATCGCTTATCGGGAAGCTTATCGCTTATCGGGGAGCTTATCGCTTATCGGGAAACTTATCGCTTATCGCTTACCGGGCAACTGTACTATAAATAAAACGCTTTAAAATAATACTTAAACACAAGCTGAAAAGAATCAAAAAGTTTTCTAAAATAAAATGATAAACAAAACGATAAACAAAACGATTTCAGGGAAGCGGTGAGAGCCGAATCGTCCACACGGACGATGCGATCGGTCCACAAGCAATGCGTCGAACAATGAGGTGGGAAGATCTTAAATCTCAATCTCAAGACCTTAATTGAAATTAATATATAAATCTTGTCATTTGTGTCGATTCAGGCACAATTTTCTGGTATTTCAAGACTCTTTTTGAGGACTTAAAGACTTAAGGGGGTTAAAAAGGTTAAAAATTGACTGCAAAAGAGAGAGCAAAAAGGCTAAAATCTTCAAATTTAACTTTGAATGATTAAAACGAAATCTGATCACTCGTTTTCTCAAGGACAAGTTTTTTTTGAGCTTAAAGAAGAGCTGAAAGAGCTTGAGCTGTTCCACAAGCAAACATTGAAGCTTTCAGCTTTAAAAGCTTTATCAGCTTTATCAGCTTTAGCTTTAGCTTTTTTCTAAAGCTTTAGAAAGCTCTAGAAAGCTTTAGAGAACTCTAGAAAGCTTTAGAGAACTCTAGAAAGCCTTAGAGTTCTTTAGAAAGCTTTAGAGTTCTTTAGAAAGCTAGAGCTTAGTCCCAGAAAGCCAGAAAGCTTTAGAGAGCTCTAGAAAGCTTTAGAGTTCTTTAGAAAGCTTTAGAGAGCTTTATAAGCTTTATGAGCTTTATAAGCTTTATCCGCTTTATCAGCTTTATCCGCTTTTTCAAAGCTTTTCAACTTTTGAACATTGAAAATATGAAATTTAAGCCTTAAAACTATCAATTAATAGTAGTTTTTAGAGAGATTTCTTTCAAATTATCGTCTTTTCTTTTCTTTTTCTTTCTTTTCTTTTGAATTCTCTATTTTCTTAGATTCTTTTCATAGTTTAAACAATTTTTTGTCAAAGAAGCCATCCGAATTGAGCTTTTTCCTTTTTCTTTCGTTTTTTTTTAGATTATCTTGTGCAAAATCTACTAAATAGCAACAAGATTTGAAAAAAGAAAAAGAAAAGACACAGTTGAATGTTTGCGAAAAGTTGTTTTAGAAGAAGATTAATGCTCGCTTTCACTTGTACTTTGTGCTTAAAAGATAAACGCATCTTTCTGGAGCATTGAAGCCTTCAAAAAACTAAACGCATCTTTCCGGTGCATTGAAGTCTTCAATTTTCTCGTTATATTGCAAGAAAAACGAGGAATTTTGAGGAAGATTTGGGATTTTTGCATAAAATCGCCAGAAAAGTGCTTTATTTTGAAAATTTCCACAAAATAAAATCGAATAAATCTACATCGTGATCCATTTTTGAAATTTGTTTGTTTTTTGTTTTGTTTGTTCACAAAAATCTCGAGCTTTTCCCTTTTTAACAATAGAAAAAAACGATTTTCTAGATCTTTCTTATCGTCTTTTCCGTGAAAAATCGCAAATTTGTTTGTTTGAATGATTCATAATGTCTAGAAATGTTCAGAAATGTCTAGAAATCTGGAAAAATGTCAATTTTTCTAGACATCATCACTTTTTTGAGTTTTATTTACGCAAGAATTGTTGTTTAGAGGAATGATAGTCAAATGATAGTCAAATGAGACCAAATGATCGTCAAATGATAGTCAAATGATAGCCAAATGATAGTCAAATGATAGCTAAACAATAGCCAAACAATAGCCAAACAATAGCCAAACAATAGCCAAACAATAGCCAAACAATAGCCAAACAATAGCCAAACAATAGCCAAACAATAGCCAAACAATAGCCAAACAATAGCTAAACAATAGCCAAACAATAGCCAAACAATAGCCAAACAATAGCCAAACAATAGCCAAACAATAGCCAAACAATAGCCAAACAATAGCCAAACAATAGCCAAACAATAGCCAAACAATAATCAAACAATAACCAAACAATAATCAAACAATAATCAAACAATAATCAAACAATAATCAAACAATAATCAAACAATAATCAAACAATAATCAAACAATAATCAAACAATAATCAAACAATAATCAAACAATAATCAAACAATAATCAAACAATAATCAAATGATTTTATCAATCTTTTGTAGCTCTTTTGTAGCTTTTGTAGCCTTTTTTATTGAAAAGAAAGCGAAAGAAAAAAATAAACCAAATTATTCTTGATGGACTCGAACCCGTGGCCCATGTGACCTCGATCGCTTGATAACAGCGACGCTAACCAATACACCACAGGCCCATCCCATCGCCCTCTCAAAAAAGACCCTTTTCTTTCTAGCCAATAGCATTCTGAAGTTATCCTTCCTTTTTTCAGCCTTCCTTTTCAGCTTTCAGCCTTCCTTCTTCTTGTCTTTATTATTTCTTGAGGATTTAAAGCGCTGATAGCTTAGTGGTAAAGCGTCAACATCTGGTAGGCGGAAGATCGAGGGTTCAATTCCTCTCGCTTCCAATTTCTTCCCCATTCATTTCTTTACTTTCTTTCTTTTTCATTCCTTTTCTTTTCTTTTCTTTTCTTTCTTTTCTTTACAACGTAACTTCACAAAAATATACGATCATTTCACAATACAAAGTGCAGCCAAGCAAAGCTGTTGCCCTATTGCGCTAACCACTGAGCTACCCGGTACCGTAACTTGCCAAGAGAAAGAAGAAAAGACAAGAGGAAGAAAGAAGCTAAAATAAGCTAGATTTTATTTTTATGTTTACAAATAATCTAAACTCTTTAAATGTGAAAGTCTCTTAAAAATGTGTCCATTTTTTTCTCCGTTCATCAAAAATCAAAAACAATGCTCGGTCGTAAATTTTCTCGTTCTCATTGTTCCGCTTTTCTCTTTTTTTCTCTCAAAAACATTCACACCAAAAAAAACTCCGATTTTCACTCAAATTTTTCGTTTTTCCAGTTTTTTCTTTTCGAAATGATAGCTTTTAAAACTTTTTTTCGCTTTTAGTTTTTCGCTTTTAAAAGTTTAAACTTTTTTTTTGTTTAGACTGATATTTTTCTTAATAGCTAATCGAAATCTCGGGCTTTAAAACTATAAAAATCGATTAGATTGAAACTTTTCTCACTTGAAACCTTAGAATAGCGCTGTCTTATTATAGATTTGGTTGAGTGCTTTAAAATTGTAAAAGGAAAACATCAGACCCTCTTTTTAAAACTCGGCTTCGGCTAAAATTCGGCTAAACTCGGCTTTTCGACTAAACTCGAGGCTTTTGGCGACTAGGCGTGGCTCTTTTATCTTGCATCCCGAATCTGCTTTCTCTAGATCCTCTAGAGCTTTCTCTAGATCCTCTAGAGCTTTCTCTAGATCCTCTAGAGCTTTCTCTAGATCCTCTAGAGCTTTCTCTAAATCCTCTAGAGCTTTCTCTAGATCCTCTAGAGCTTTCTCTAGATCCTCTAGAGCCTTCTCTAAATCCTCTAGAGCCTTCTCTAAATCCTCTAGAGCCTTCTCTAAATCCTCTAGAGCCTTCTCTAAATCCTCTAGAGCTTTTTTTGTCAATGATTAAGCATTAAAGAGTGTGACTAAAGTCTGGAATGCCCTTCCCGACAAGTTGCGTTTGATCTCCACCGTGTCTGATTTTAAAAGGGCTACTTCGTTGGATTTTAAGTGACTTTGTGATCTTTTATCTGGTATTTTAAGTGACTTTGTCATCTTTTTCATGTCGTTTTCGCACTTTATTTCTTTCTAAATAAAGTATTTACATAAAAAGTGAGTTATTGATTCAGGTTTTCATCAAGCTTTCCGTTTTCTCAAATTTTAGACGAAATTTCGAGAAAAAGTCCCATTTTTTACTGTAAATTTGCAATTTCTTTGCCATTTTTCTTGTCTTTTCATTGCTGATTTCGTTTTTTTTTTTTTTTTGGTGAAAACATAAAAGAAAATCGATCAAAATGGGGGAAATGTTGTGGCTGGGCTTATCGCGATCACGCCAAAGTCAAACAGAATTTTACCCTTTAAAAATACTAGTTTTATTTATAAATAACCTTTTTGAAAGTCAAAAAAACCTTTTTCTCGAACAGTTTATAGGGAAGCTAAAAAAGCTTTAGCTAAAAAATTACGGAGCTAAAAAATTGCGTTTTCAAATTGCATTTTCAATTACCTTTCAATTCAAAACTCTAAAAAAAAGGTTTCGAAATTTGGTTTCATTGAACTTTACGCTAAAATACATTCAAAAACCTCTTTTTTGATACTTTACTATGTCTTTTTTTTACTGTCCGTCCGTCCGTCTGTCTGTATGTCTGTCTGTCTGTCTGTCTGTCCGTCCGTCTGTCTGTCTGTCCGTCCATCCGTCTGCCTCTCTGTCCGTCTGTCCGTCCGTTTGTCCGTCCGTCCGTCTGCCTGTCCGTCCGCGTCTCTTTTGATACTTTACTATGTCTTTTTTTTTACTGTCCGTCTGTCGGTCCGTCTGTCTGTCCGTCTGTCTGTCCGTCTGTCTGTCCGTCTGTCTGTCCGTCTGTCTGTCCGTCTGTCTGTTCGTCTGTCTGTTCGTCTGTCCGTCCGTCTGTCTGTCTGTCTGTCTGTCTGCCTGTCTGTCCGTCCATCCGTCTGCCTCTCTGTCCGTCTGTCCGTCCGTTTGTCCGTCCGTCCGTCTGCCTGTCCGTCCGCGTCTCTTTGGAAAATTTGAAAAAACGCTGAAACGTGTGTCTAAGAAAATTTCATGCAGCTGTGTCTTTTAAACAAATTTCTTTGCAAAAAGTTAAAGTAGGTCAATGGCGGGGTGGAACCCAGGCCGTGGGCGCTCTTTGCCACCGGGGCGCCATTCACGTGGGCGCTCTTTGCCGCCGTGGCGCCATTCACTGCGCCACAATTTGCATTTGGCAAGTAGCAATCTGAAATTTGCATGCTTGGGTTTTTCAACACAGGGAATTCGTTCCCGGCAGTCATTTTTCCAAAAAATGCGCGCTGTTGCAAAAAAATTTGACTTTTTGTTTTAACCTTTTTGATCGTAAAGTTCAATTTAGCCTCAATATTGAATATTCAATTCTTTTTGATCGATTTTCTTCACGAAATGCGAAAAGCAGTGTTTTTTTGATGTATAGAGAAAAGAAAAAGAAAAAAAAGGAATAAAATTGTTGGGGAAAAGGGCGAGGGAGGTCAAAACGATCTTGGAAAAGAAAACTTTCGATTTTAATTGAATAGAATCTTCCCCTCACAAATTCCACACTTTGACTTTGATCTGTTTTGACTGATCAATGCGCTTTCTTTCTCTTTCTTTCCCTTTCTTTCTCTTTCTTTCTTTCTCTTTCGCTTTCTTTCCCTCTCTTTCCCTTTCTTTCCCTTTCTTTCTCTTTCTCTCTTTCTCATTCTTTTCTTTCTCTCTTTCTTTCTCCTTTCTTCAGTTCAATGTTCAATGTCTTTCTCCAGCTTCTCCAGCTTCTCCAGCTTCTCCAGCTTCTCCAGTTTCTCCAGTTTCTCCAGTTTCTCCAGTTTCTCCAGCTTCTCCAGCTTCTCCAGCTTCTCCAGCTTCTCCAGTTTCTCCAGTTTCTCCAGTTTCTCCAGTTTCTCCAGTTTCTCCAGCTTCTCCAGCTTCTCCAGTTTCTCCAGTTTCTCCAGCTTCTCCAGCTTCTCCAGCTTCTCCAGCTTCTCCAGCTTCTCCAGCTTCTCCAGCTTCTCCAGCTTCTCCAGCTTCTCCAGCTTCTCCAGTTTCTCCAGTTTCTCCAGTTTCTCCAGTTTCTCCAGCTTCTCCAGCTTCTCCAGCTTCTCCAGCTTCTCCAGCTTCTCCAGTTTCTCCAGCTTCTCCAGCTTCTCCAGCTTCTCCAGTTTCTCCAGCTTCTCCAGCTTCTCCAGTAATCTTTTAGATTCATTTTCAACGTATTAGTATCTACTTTGAGTACACCAGAAAGGCTGTGTTTACAAGAGCACAATGTACACCATTATGAGCTTTTTAATGCAAAAACTGAAGTGAATCAGTCTAGGAATCAATCTAGAATTCCAGAGGATTTTCCTATTCGATATAATTTCCTATTTTCTTCATTTCATTTATCTTTCAATGCCTTTAATATCCTATTTTCTTCATTTCCTTTATCTTTCATTGCCTTTAAGCCGCCAAATAGTGCACGTTTACAACTTTTAAGCACAAAGTACATAGGAGAGTGACGATGAAAGTTTTATGCATGCTTTAAGCTGCAAAAACTAGCTCGAAACGAGTTTTGCTCAAAAAAACGTGATGAGTAAGCGTTCCGGCTTAGCTCTGACTATTGTAAAGTGTTTTCAATCTATTTTTTAGTTCTCAAAAAGTTATGCTGACAAATCTTGTATAGAGATTTTCCAGAAATTCTTTTTTCAAATCTTTTTAGAGATTCTTTTGTCCTTTCACTCAAACAGATGCACTGAGCGTGCAAAATTGGAAATAACAGGATGACGAGAGAATCATACGGAAGTTCTCTACAAATTTCGCTTTATATCAAACCTTGCCCTCTACAAATTTCGCTTTATATCAAGCCTTTTGTGCTCTATCTTTTATCTATTGACACCAAAATAGGTTTCCTTAGCTAAAGTTTGTCTTTTCTATAGCTAAAGTGTCCGCATCATCGAACCGTCGCCTTTTTCGACTACCCGACTTCACGTTGTTCTTTCTGTGAATCATACGGAATTTCTCTTACGGAGTTAGAATATTCTTGTTCTTCGAAAACTTGTCAACTTTCTCGTTTACCGTAATCTTGTCTCTTTTTTATTTAATTCTTTTTAAATCTTCACAGAATCAGAAAAAAAGTAGGATTGACTAAAAAGGGAAAAGATTACGGTAGTTGAGAAAAGAGATAAGTTTTAGAAAGCTAAAAAACTAGAAAGCTAGAGAGCTAGAAAGCTAGAAAGCTTAGAAAGCTAGAAAGCTAGAAAGCCAGGCCAGAAAGCTAGAAAGCTAGAGAGCTAGAAAGCTAGAAAGCTAGAAAGCTTAGAAAGCTTAGAAAGCTTAGAAAGCCAGCTTAGAAAGCTTAGAAAGCCAGCTTAGAAAGCTTAGAAATCTTTTAGAAAGCTGTCTTCTAGCTCAAAACCTTTACAGTACCTTTAAAATACAGTAGCTTCAAAGATTGACATGATTTATCATGAAATATACTCGAATTCTAAGTCAGCCTCTTGTCTCACCTCGCCAGATAATCCTTCACTCATCTTTTGTCTTGCCTTTTGATAATAAACATAAAGATTAGAAGCCTTTTTCGTGTTAGAAGCGTTTTTGGAAGTTTCTTTTGTCACCAAAAGAAAACGAGAAAGTTTCAGTGCACCAGAAAGGGCTTGTTTACACTTTTTGTTCACAAAGAACACTAGATTCTTTTTCCGCAATCATTTACCCGTTCTAAAACCTCAATCAGCGATCTTTTTTCACATTCCAATGCTTTCCCATAACCGGTTGTGTTTGTTACTTTTGAGAAATGTGCCGCCGCCTTTTTTTTTTGATCGAATCACCTCGACAAACACTTGAAATTGAGGGAAATCGCTATCATTTTCATTGCCATATTCTTTTCAAATAATCTTTTCGCTTTTTAAATGTAAATTCGGATAAATAGCTAACGATTAAAGCTATAAAATAGCTAATGATTAAAGCTATAAATAGCTAACGATTAAAGCTACAAAATAGCTAAGGATTCAAGCTACAAATAGCTAAAGATTAAGACTACAAATAGCTAACGATTAAAGCTACTCACATAAACTATTCACTCGTAAAGCTTAAAGTCAGATTTTAGAATTAGTTTAGAAGCTTACCAGACGTTGATGGCGTATCAATGCATCCAATTTTCGTCTCCCCTTCAATCGCGTTCTCTTGCAGATCTTGAAAGCAGAAAAGTCAATTATTGGCTCTTCTTTTCTTTTCTATTTTGCCTTTTTTATACAAAATGAAAGCTTTTTCACGATTTTATTCAAATTTAATGAAATTTAATTGAAATTATGAAATTCGGAAATTAATAAGGGTAATAGGGGTAACGGCCTAAGCCTAAGCCTAGCACAACATTTGGGTAATAAGGGTAATAGGGGTAACGGTAATAAGTGCCATAAGATTATGTGTTTAGACCTTTATGTCTTATTATGTATCCTTTTTTTGTATCACATTATTTGTTTTCAATAAATGTCTCTTTAATCATCAAATGCTTCCCTCAATCTCCCTCAAGTCCCTTCATTTTTCAATTCCTTTCACTGAATATCTATTCTATTTTTATCAAATTTACATTTCATTGATTTCAGCAATTTCAGTAATTTTTTCCAAATGAAATCACTGAAAAAAAATCGGCGTTCATCATTTTTTCTATGTTGCCTCGTCCCAAAACCCCAAGAAATCGATATTTACGAAAAAACGAGTGATTGGTAATGAGTTTTAAAGATAAAATAGAAAAAAAAAGAAGAAAAGAAGAAGAAGAAGAAAAGAAGAAGAAAAGAAAAAATCTAATTTAAAAGAAAAACAAGTAAACGGGGGCTTTTGGATGTCGATCGATTATCGGGGGAGCAAGCTTTTCCCCAACTTGGAGCTCATTTTTTAGCACCTTAAACTCATCAGATCAGGAAATTTTAATAAGATTTAGATAGTTTAGAACGTTAGCTTTCAGAAATTGTTTGTTTCATCAAAAGTTATTAACAAAAACCTATCTAAAATGGTCCCCCGGCCCCGGCCCACCTCCGATAAGTTTTTGGCGAACTTGCAGCCCAATTTTTAAAACCTTAAACTCATCAGATCAGGAAATTTTAATAAGATTTAGATAGCTTAGAACGTTAGCTTTCAGAAATTGTTTGTTTCATCAAAAGTTATTAACAAAAACCTATCTAAAATGGTCCCCCGGCCTTCGCGGTCCCCCCGTCGGCCCCCGATAAGTTTTTGGCCAACTTGCCGCTCATTTTTAGCACCTTAAACTCATCAGATCAGGAAATTTTAATAAGATTTAGATAGCTTAGAACGTTAACTTTCAGAAACTATTTGTTTGATGAAAAGTTATTAACAAAAACCTATCTAAAATGGTCCCCCGGCCCCCGGTCCCCCCAGCCCACCCCCGATAACCGTAAAGATCCGAAAAAGAAATCTAAACTTAAAATAAGAGCCTAAATTGATAACTTAATAAAGTTTCCTGTAATTTTTAGCAAAAATCTTCCTTTTAGTGCTGGTCGAGTGTCACCACCGGTTCCACCGACGCGGAAATACTTCAACATCGCGCCTCCACCTCAACTTGCTACACAACCACAGGTATTCAAAAAAACAAAAGAAGAATGACAAAATAAGGGTTATCAATTGGTGTACAAAGGGTTAAAACAACGACAAACAACGAAATGTTGAGCGTACAATCGCGTAGTCGTTATTGTTTCACTGATAATTTAATGGGGGAATTGGAAAAGAAAACGAAAGTATTATTGTCATTCGATAGCCCTGAATCTCCTCTTGGAAACTAGTAGAAAACCATTGTTAACTTTCTCCAAAATAAATCACAAATTATTTAAAAGCTTGAGTTGATACGAAAAATATTCGACATTAGTGGTTAAAAAAAAGCCGATTTTTCATCATTTTTCAATCTTCTTTTTCTAAGCACTGGTTTAAGCTAAAAATAAGTGTTGTATCACAAAAAATTACCTATTTTCTCTACTTTAATATGATACCAAAACGATTAGAAACAAACCTACTGGTGTCGAGATATGAGCGTTTGCTTTGAGAGTAAACTTAGACTACGCGACGCTTCTTTTAGGGGCTTCTATTAGAGGATTACGGTATTGTATTACGGTATATAACACACTCTAGTACTTGCCTACTATGCATTACAGTACTGTACTAAATGCTGGCTGTATACTGATCACTTCTGGGATACTTCTACCTTTAATTGGTTGAGAATACGCCGAGATATCGGGGTTGAAAGTTGGTCAAAGCGAAAAGTGACTTTTTAACACCAAAAACTTGGTGGTGATGCTAGAAATTGGTGGTGATGATTGATTTTGATTGATTGATTGATTGATTGATTGATTGATTTTGGCAAATCATAGACTTTTCTAGACTTCATCCTCGGATGAAGACGATGCACAACGAACTCCAACTCTTCGCAATCCATCCTACGATTTCGTCAGTCCTTTGAGGTTTGTTGAAATCAAACTATTCGCCGATTGTTTAACGATTTCATTAGTTGGAAAGGCATATGAATTCGAAAGGCATATGAATTTCAATTCATTCGTTTTCATGCAAGAAATCTATCATTGACGCCTCAAATTCCATAGATCCATAGAATTCCATAGATCCTTAGAATTCCATAGAATTCCATAGATCCATGGAATTCCATAGATCCATAAATTCCATAGATCCATAGAATTCCATAGATTCATGGAATTCCATAGATCCATAGATCCATAGATCCATAGAATTCCATAGATCCATAGATCCATAGGTTCCATAGATCCATAGATCCATAGATCCCTAGAATTCCATAGATCCATAGATCCATAGGTACCATAGATCCTTAGATCCATAGATCCATAGGATTCCATAGATCCATAGAATTCCATAGATTCATAGTTCCATAGATCCATAGATTCATAGTTCCATAGATCCATAGAATTCCATAGAATTCCATAGATCCATAGAATTCCATAGATTCATGGAATTCCATAGATCCATCGTTCCATAGATCCATCGTTCCATAGATCCATAGATCCATAGATCCATAGATCCATAGTTCCATAGATCCATAGATCCATAGATCCATAGATCCATAGAATTCCATAGATCCATAGAATTCCATAGATCTAAAGCTCTGATTGACTTTCCCTGCATTCACTTTCTAATTCCAGGGAGGACCGTCCGTCGAGCGACCTCTCTAACATGGAAAACTTGGCTCAACGTTTGAAACAAATCGGTAAATGATGTGATCATTTTGAAATGATATCAAACAAACAATCTTTTCAGCTCGTCCATATCGCAGCTCATTTGATGGATCGGATTTCCCGAGTGAGCGCCGATCACAACTGAAATCTGTTCAGCCACAATCGAGCTTTGAAGCAGAACAAACTGGACAAGAAAAGGTGGGCTTTTGGAGCTTTGATGCTCTTTCCCATTGCTGTGAAAAGCAGAGATTCAAAGTATTTTTCTTGGCTATAGTAAGATCCTTCCGTCTAAACATTCACTCGATCCGGTCTCGATCCGGACCCGATCGGGATCGGACCGAAAAGTTGGGGCTAGGTCCGGCCCGATTGAGATTGGACCGAAAAGTTGGGGCTAGGTCCGGCCCGATTGAGATTGGACCGAAAAGTTGGGGCTAGGTCCGGCCCGATTGAGATTGGGCCGAAAAGTTGGGGCTAGGTCCGGCCCGATTGAGATTGGACCGAAAAATTGGACTTCGGTTCGGACCGGACCAAGATTGGACCGATTGAAACGGACTGAGTACACATGTTTACCGTCTCAACCATAATTGCAAGTTCATCCACAACTTTGGTTTATCTATCTAAGTGAAAGTTGAGAATGAACTTAAGTAAGGGTTGGAGAAGTTGGGGAAAACCCTGGATAGGCGTAGGCTCGCAGTTGGAGTTGTGACAAGAGTTGGCGGATGGGGCAAAAGCGAATTTCTAGAGGTGACCAGAGGAGTTAGAACTTTCAGGACGTTTTTCCGGGATTTGTATCAGGTTGGCAACTAAATAATGACCCTTTTTAGTAAAAACAAAAAATTTATTAACAAGATGAACAAATATCAACATCAATCCAAAAGGTATTCTCCGTCATTCTTTATTACTTCTTTCCACTTTTGACGGAGCAACTGGATTCCTCTCTTGAAAAATTCTTCTGGTTGATCGTCAAAGAACTTCTGCACTGAAATTCGGACCTCGTCAAGGTCATTGAACTTTTTCTCGGCTAGAAAGTGTTGCATCGATCAAAAAAGATGGTAATCACTAGGCCCCATATCCGGGCTGTATGGCGCATGAGGAAGAACATTCCAGCCCAACTCCTCGATTTTCTCCATTGTAAGTTTTGCAGTGTGTGGTTTTGCGTTATCATGGAGAAAATGAATTGAAGAGGGTTCGAGTCCTTGAAAGCGAATTGCTTGATCTACACGATGTAGTTGAGACGAATAGAGTTCTGAATTAACCGTTTGCCGGCTTTTGAGAACCTCGAAATGCACCAACCCACGAGAACTCCACCACACACAGAGGAGAGTTTTCTTTGAGTGAATATCCGGCTTCGGAGTTGGTTTTGGGTCTTCGTTTGTGCTAAGCCACTGTCGTTTTCGCGTTCGATTATCATAAAAGATCCATTTTTCATCAGAAGTGACAATGGAATCCAAGAAGCTTCCCTTTTTCGCAAGTTTTAGTAGTATTCCAGCTGTGATAACACGAGTAGCCTTATTTTCTTCGCTCAATTCATGCGGAATCCACTTTCCACTGCGGTTACTTTTCCCCAATGCATGAAGTCGCTTTTCGATTGCAGTATGCGAAAAGCCCACTCGATCCCCTAGCTGGCGTGATGTTTGACTTGGATCCTCCTTTAAAGCTGCTTCCAAAATATCGTTCTGCAGAAGTTCGGGTCGTCCTTGGCGAGGCTCATCTTCAAGACTTTCATCCCCTTCCTTGAACCATCGATACCATCTCTTACATTGTGTTTCGGAAAGAGCTTCATCACCAAAAACTCGCAATAAATCTCTGTGGGATTCGGCAGCTGTTTTGTCTTGTTTGTAATCGTACCAGAGACAGACACGCATTCGATATTTGAGATCTTCCATTTCTAAACAAAATTATTTGAAAAGTATCAAATCAAGGAAAGTAAAAAACGTATAATAATGCACCAGAAATTCAGTAATATTCAATTAACAACAAGCGAGGGTAGATTAAACGCAAAGATTAAAAGATTTTATCAAAAAAGGGCGAGGGCCATTATTTAGTTGCCAACCTAATATTTGAAATGCTCAGTTGTTGACTCTTGTTCTGATCTTGTTGACTAAGAAATGTCTTTTCTAGCGAGTTTCTGATTCTTCGACGATCTCCGGATGTTCATCAGATCCGAACACTTCAATCTCTGAGCAAAACAACAGCGAAGACTCTGGACACGGCTCTTTATCTGGGTTTGTTTCACTTGCTTACTAAAATCTGGCTAAGAGCTAAGAGCTAAGAGCTTTATAGTCTGGCTAAAAGCTTTGTAGTCTGGCTAAAAGCTTTATAGTCTGGCTAAGAGCCAAGAGCTAAGAGCTTTATAGTCTGGCTAAGAGCTAAGAGCTCTGTAGTCTGGCTAAGAGCTTTATAGTCTGGCTAAGAGCTTTGTATCTCAGTCGGGAGGTCAAGGGTTCAATCCCGCCGCTAGTTCATCGCTAGTTCTTTTCTACATTCTAATAGAAACACACGATTTCCAGGGCGCCGATAAAAGTTGAAGTACGATCATCAAATCTGACGAGGCCAATAAAATTCGATAATGACGATGGTGATAAATGAATTGACTCCTCAAATAAGCTTTAGCTTTAGTCCCGTCAAGCACTTCTGTCTTGGAAACGGTTTTTGATAATCTCGACAAGTTGATACCGAAAAACGTGAGAAATGTGCCGATTGTGACAAAGGTGAGCTTGGATTGAAAAAAAATAGCTTCTTAGATTGTACAACAAGTTTCTTAGATTGTACAACAAGCTTCTTAGTTGTACAGCAATTCTTAGATTGTACAGCAATCCTCTCAAATCTTTAGGAACCGCCAGCAATTCCGCCAAAACCAGTAACAAACTGGAAAGTGCCGATTCACGTTGAGGAAGACATTCGAAAGAATGATTCGCCGCATTGGAATAAGGTCTTTTTCTTGTTAATTCCTTGATAAAGCCTTGATCAAAGCCTTGATCAAATCCATCGATACACAAATTTCCCCCTTTCTTTCTCTTTATAATTCTCAAAATAGCACTTTAGTCTTTCTAAAATGCAAAAGCCGTTCACCGCCCGATTTGGGTAATTGAACCCGCTTAAGCAAATCGATTTGGATCAAAAATCGATCAAGGAAACTTTTAGTTTTATGCTCGAACTGCTCGAACTCGAATTGCTCAAACAATTAAAACCTAATTGAATAGAATGGCTACTATTTGCTAGAGACTTTAAGCCTTCTACTGAGCCTTCTACTGAGCCTTCTACTAAGCCTTCTACTGAGCCTTGTACTGAGCCTTGTACTGAGCCTTCTACTGAGCATTCTACTGAGCCTTCTACTGAGCGTTCTACTGAGCCTTGTACTAAGCCTTCTACTGAGCCTTCTACTGACCTTCTACTGAGCATTCTACTGAGCATTCTACTGAGCATTCTACTGAGCCTTGTACTAAGCCTTCTACTAAGCCTTCTACTGAGCCTTGTACTGAGCCTTCTACTGAGCCTTCTACTTTAAGCTTTAAGCATAAAAATGATGTCTTCGAATGTTAAATTCAATCATTTCCAGATTCCCACACATCTAATCGAGGAGCCGGCTCCTACACCGAAAAGAATCGACAAATTGTAAGTGCAATTTCTTTTCGCAATCGTTTTACGCTATTTGTTCACTGAAAAAAAAACGGTATTGTTCGTCCTTGCGAGGAAATCCAATTCGATTTGCATAAATGCGCAAAAGTTTCTCAATCAAGAATGGAAAAGGATCGGCAGAAATGGGAAATGTTGCTTTTTGAGAAATGGAATTGATGGAAAGGGATTGATGGAAATTGTATAGAAAAGCTTTTCAGTAGAAGAAAAAAACGTAGACTCAAGATACTTTGTTTAGGTTTTGGTTTTGAGCAAGCTGGATGCTAGGCAGTCGCCACAATTTTTGCCAATGGCATTTTAATGGGACATTCTTGGGTTTTCGACAACTTTGATTAAATTACAAATCGTTTCAAGGCTTCGTTCTAACTTTATTTCTTTTCTTTGCCACTTTCTAATACGCGTTCCTTTAGAAATGATCGGTATTCATGCGGCTAATTGGCTAAAAACCTATTTTATTTTTTCTAGGAGGAAGTGACCAAGAAATATTTATTATTCTAATGCTTTTGAAGCCCTTTTTGTTACTTTTCGTTACTTTTTTATCGTTTTGATAGATTTTAAACGTTAATACGCAGATAAATGTTAAAATAAACGTTAAAAACTTAAGGAAAAATTAAATTTAGAACAAAACCACTATTTACAATTTAATCAGTGTCGTCGAAAACCCAAGAAAAATAAAATGTCATTGGGAAAATTGAGGCCACGCCCTTCTAACGCACGCGAACATATTTGCAATTGAGCCTAAGTCTGAGCCTGAGCCTAAGCGTGAGCCTGAGCCTAAGCTAAGCCTAAGCTAAGCCTAGCCTGAGCCTAAGCCTAAGCCTAAGGCTAAGCATGAGCCTTTGCCTGAGCCTGAGCCTAAGCCTAAGCCTAAGCCTAAGCTAAGCCTAGCCTAAGCCTAAGCTAAGCCTAAGCATGAGCCTAAGCCTGTGCTAAGCCTAAGCCTAAGCCTGATCCTAAGCCTAAGCCTAAGCATATCACCCAGAGCTGTTCCTAGGATCGATTTCCTAGGATCCAAACCAAGGCAAAGACAAGGTCAAACTAAGGCCAAACCCAAAGCGAAGTCAAAAGGCAACAGTTGGCTTAGATTTGGTTTGGTTTGACCTTGGCTTATGTGTTACGGTAGTCAATAGTACAGTGTATTCTACCGTAACCTTAGTTTTTGCATCTCTTTTCAGTCAATGAATGGTACTGTTGTGTACTTGCTGTACCTAGAAGTACTGTTGTGTACTTGCTGTACCTAGAAGTACTGTTGTGTACTTGCTGTACCTAGAAGTACTCTTGTATACTTGCTGTACCTAGAAGTACTGTTGTGTACTTGCTGTACCTAGAAGTACTGTTGTGTACTTGCTGTACTTAGAAAGGTAGCCTGTCTAAAAGTAATCATTATACAGCCAGCAGATAGTACAGTATTGTAAGACATAGTAATCAAGGACTGTAATCATCACAAGTTTACATTTCCAGAAACGATCTGTTGGATGATGAGATGCTGAGCCGTAAAAGAGCCGTCGTCACACAATTGGCCGACTCATTGAGATCAATCGAATTGTCTGTGCAAATGATGAACAAGGTTTTTTGACGAAGCTTTTACAAAGTGTCAAGAAGTGGTCTTGTTGTTTCCCGTTGTACACCAATTCAGACATTTCATCAACCCCTTCCATTTAGGCAACAGCGCCTCAATTCTGGCGAGCGCCACACGTTTTGCAAGTGCATCTGCCGGCTCTCAAAGAGGCTTGTCAAAATTTGCACGAACAGACGGAACTCTTCGTCGACACAACTGCCAGAATATCCATTGATTCAAGGCATCCAAAAGCTGATGGTTTGTTTTGTAAGCCTATATTGCTCAAAGTAAGCCTATATTGCTAGTTATCGAACATTTAATCGAATGCACCTTTTCCCAATAGCAATCCAACTTTAAGCTCAAATTTCTTGATGTTCAGTTGTCCAATTAAAATGTTTTTGGTATCATTCGATGCGCCAAGTCTTTCTCTATAGATTAATATCAAAACTTTTCAAATTGGACAACCGAGCATCAAGATATTTGAGCTCAAAGTTTGCCAATCGTAAAAGGGGCGGAGCGCGTATAAAAGGTCCCACAACCCCGCCCCTTTCCCCGTCAAGTCTTTCTCTGTCGATTGGTATAAAAACTGTTTAAATTCGACAACCCAACACCAAGTAATTTGAGTTTAAAGTTGGACTGCTAATAGGTGACCTTTTATACGCGCTCCGCCCCTTTTGCCATTGGCAAACTTTGAGCTCTAATTTCTTGGTGTTGAGTTGTCCAATTTGAATACTTTTTATACCAATCGACAGAGAAAGACTTGGTGCGTATAATGATATCAAAAACATTTGAATTGGACAGCTGAACACCAAGAAATTTGAGCTCAAAGTTGGATTGCCAATGGCAAAGTGGCAGGGCGCGTATCGAATGTCCCACAATCTTTTCCAAATGCATGGCAGCGCGCAAAAATTCTGATCGCAAAGGAAAGTAAGCCTATATGGCTAGTTATCGAACATTTGATCGAACACACCTTTTCCCATTAGCAATCCAACTCATGTGGCAATCAAGTAGCCAAAAATCTCCAGTTAAGAAGTGCATTTGATGCAGTCACCAGTGCTAGTTGATTAGAAGGTTTAAAGACTAGAAGTAGAATCATTCCAATACAAAAGTACTAAAATTTGTCCTTTAGAACTCCGTCGATTGGTGACACCACTTCGAGACACGAGAGGCGTCATTACTGGCCTTAGGCGTCAATTGGATTCATCAGGATGGAAGCTAGCCGTGCTTGCTAGAGACAAAGAACAACCGCGTACGGGAATGGATGCCTTGGAGCAGTTAATTCACATCGCGAAACAGGTATCATCGAGAAAAGAAATCAAAATCGGTTAGGAAAGTCAGAGCTAGCTTTGGCTTGGCTTCAGCTAGCTTTGGCTTGACTTCAGCTAGCTTTGGCTTGACTTTAGCTAGCTTTGATTTGACTTCAGCTAGCTTTGATTTGACTTCAGCTAGCTTTGACTTGACTTCAGCTAGCTTTGGCTTGACTTTAGCTAGCTTTGGCTTGACTTTAGCTAGCTTTGACTTGACTTTAGCTAGCTTTGGCTTGACTTTAGCTAGCTTTGACTTGACTTTAGCTAGCTTTGGCTTGACTTTAGCTAGCTTTGACTTGAGTATTTTTAGATTTTAAACCTCAATCCAATCATAAATGACATTAAAAGCTCACCCTGTACTTGTTCTAGATTCCAAACGAGTGTCGCTCCTTATGGGATTGGTCTCGATCTTTGTCCCCTTCAACAGCTATTGTTTTTCTTGGTGGACCCGCAAAAATCCCTCCTTTCCCCACTCATTTCCCATCTACGAGTCAGCTAAACGCGAAATTGAAACCCGTTGACGAGGATGAGAAACGGTAGGCTTTTTGAAAGGTTTTTAAAAGCACTTTTCAATCGTGTTAAGCACTTGATGTTAAGCTGTTTATCGTTTAGGTTCTCCTTTATCGTTTATCCTCTCCTTTATCGTTTATCCTCTCCTTTATCATCTATCTATACCTATTCCATATTTCTTTAGACTTTCCACCTCTTCATCATCGACTTTAACATCGGGTGACTCTTCTCCATCAGCCGCTTCATCGTCTTCACTCCACTCAAATCCAACCGCGAATCCACCGTCGATTTTAGTCACCAATAAAACGACGTCAAATCGTGGACGAGTGAAATTCGTGGATCAAAAGGTCGAACTTTGCACATTTTTCAATAAACAAATTGAATTCAGCCGGATCCTCAACCGTTGGCTACAAGTTCTCCATCAAATTCCAACGATCGAAACTCGTTGTCCCCGTCAGAAACCGAATCAGAAAGAGAGACACCAATCTACTCAGAGATCAACAAATTCAGAGATATAGGTTCGTTACTTGATCACATTTGTGGATTACGACATTTCATTTGATTTGATTTGAGACATTTGAAACGCTCGTTTTGCCAACTCAAGTTTAAGCTCAAATTTCTTGGTGTTCAGCTGTCCAATTCAAATGTTTTTGTTATCATTAGATGCGCCAAGTCTTTCTCTATCGATTAATATAAAAAGTATTCAAATTGGACAACCCAACACCAAGAAATTTGAGTTCAAAATTTGCCAATGGTAAAAGGGGCAGGACGCGTATAAAAGGTCCCACAACCCCGCCCCTTTCCCGTCAAGTCTTTCTCTATTGATTGCTACAAAAACTGTTTAAATTGGACAACCCAACACCAAGAAATTTGAGTTCAAAATTTGCCAATGGTAAAAGGGGCAGGACGCGTATAAAAGGTCCCACAACCCCGCCCCTTTCCCGTCAAGTCTTTCTCTATTGATTGCTACAAAAACTGTTTAAATTGGACAACCGAGCACCAAGAAATTTGAGCTTAAAGTTGGGTTGCCAATGGCAAAGGGGGCGGGGCGACGAGCTTTCTAAACGCGGCCTGCCCCCTTGGTCATTGGCAAAACTTTGAACTCAAATTTCTTGGTGTTCAGCTGTCCAATTAAACTGTTCTTGGTATCATTAGATGCGCCAAGTCTTTCTCTATCGACTGGTAGAAAAACTATTGAAATTGAATTTGACCAACACCAAGAAATTTGAGCTCAAAGTTTGCCAATGGCAAAAGTTTAATAGAACTTTGGCAACGCCAATGGCAAAAGTTTAATGGAACAATCGCTGCATTTATTGTTTTTATATATCCAATCGCTGCATTTATTGTTTTTATGTTAAAAGCAACATCTTTAGAACCACCACATCTTGTCATTCCAAGCATTTCACAAGAAAGAACTGGATCGACTCCTTCATTTCTCTCCTCTCCTTCAGGATCAACGGCAGTGATGGAAGAAGATGATTTAGAAAGCGTGAATAGCGATCGAGAATCTTTATATCAAGATTACGCTATTTTGGATGATCTTTTCCCTGAGCGAAAGAAGGAGAATAAGAAAAAAATTGAAGAACGACCAAGAATCGTCGAAGAAGATCGAGAGTTTATCAAGTGAGAGAGTCAGAAATGAAATGAAATGAAAGCTAGACCTTTTCAGCTAGACCTTTCAGTTCAAAATAGACGCAATAGTTCATTTCTCAGTCCTATTTTCAATAGGAAACCAACAGAACAACGAGATTTGACTCCAACAGCGGCTATCAGGGCTTTTAAACTAAAATCAGGGTTTTAAACTAAAAGATAGGGTTGAAAAATGTAAATTTCTAATAGTAAGACCTCTAATGACGGTCGGAGCATTGCGTAGTCTAACTTTGAACGCATTTTTCTCGGCACTTGTTTATGCTACAGAGTTCATTTAAATCTGAAATGAAAGCTGAGATTCAGGACTATTTTTTGATATTAAATTGTATTTAAAAAAATTATGGGTGCTTAGGAAAAAGGTGATTTAGCTTAGAAAAAGATGATCTAGATACATTAGATGATTTAGATACACGCGACTGTTCGAAATGTAGTCAATGAGCATTTAGGTTATCCGCTCCGCAATTCGATCAACACGTCACTTCGCTATCCACAGCTATTGACGAGTTCTTGAACACTGTTGAGATGCATCGACCACCACGCGAATTCGTTCATCGTGGGAAATTGGTGAGTTTTAAAAGCTTGTTTAACTATTTAAAATACGATTTACGATTACGATTTACGATTACGATTTACGATTAAAATTACGATTACAATTACGATTACAATTTAAAGCAATCATAGTTTTCAAAAGAAAAAGCTCTTCATTTGAACTTAAATTGGACTTTGGAAGATTACGAGCACGGTTCGAGGCCAGAAGATTCGAGGCCAGAAGATTCGAGGCTAGAAGTCGAGGCCAGAAGATTCGAGGCCAGAAGTCGAGGCCAGAAGATTCGAGGCTAGAAGTCGAGGCCAGAAGATTCGAGGCTAGAAGTCGAGGCCAGAAGATTCGAGGCTAGAAGTCGAGGCCAGAAGATTCGAGGCCAGAAGTCGAGGCCAGAAGATTCGAGGCCAGAAGTCGTGAACGAAGCCAAGCTGAGGAACGTTATTCAGGCCGATCCATGCCAGTCTGCTCGAGATCTTGCGAAAATATTCCATTGTGATCATGTCACCATCGAACGCCATCTTTTTTTGAATTAACCGTCAAATCGGCAGCTTCTTTTGCACCACCCTAATAGCACAATTAATAATCTAGAGAGAAATTATAATAAAATAGAATCAATCGTTTGTTCCGTGTTCCAAAGCCAAAGAAAAGGCAATACAAAAGTGGGCTCCGTGCATTTTATCACACAAAACGATCTTTAGAGGAAGGACAGGCGAATCAGAGATATTCAAAATCAAAACATCAAAGAAGATTTCACAGAAAAGAGCCCCTTTTCTGCACAGCAATCATAGTTTTCAAAAGAAAAAGCTCTTCATTTCAACTTAAATTCCTGAAAAAGTGACTCAAAGTGGTGGGAAAATTTGGAAAATTTGGTAAATTTTTAAAAAAAGAACTCTTTTCAAAGATTTGAATCTAAATAAGAAACCTTTTTCTTTTGAAAACCTTCTAAACAAATAGATTGAAACATTTTCATTCAAACATTTTCATTTCCCAGGTGATTCTCTGGGCTCACAAATTGGTCTATTTGGGCGATTCGCTCTCGGATGGATTGCACGCAGAAGCGCTGAAAGCGACGGCTCGTTTAGCGGCGAATCGACTCTGTGATGCGCTGCAAGAATGCGTAGCGCATACAAAAACAGCAGCTGATGAGGTTGGGCAAAATTGTTTTTTTGTTTTCGTGACAATATACTCTATTTTACGGCAAATCAAACAGTAATTGGGTATCAATAAACCCATTTAAGCTGACTATCACATTTTGGAGAAACGTTGAAGAGTTGAGGAGTCCAATAGAGCTTAAAAGCTTAAATACTTAATGAAATTCGTAAAATTCATGGTGACACGGAAAGGGATTCGGTGGTTTTCCTTTATCTAGCCATTCGGCTTTGAGTTTTCGGTTATCGTAGAGGACCCATTTTTCATCACAAGTTACAAATCGATCCAGAAATGGCTCCTTTTGATTACGAATCAGCAATGAATACGATGTGAGGTAACGGTGCAATTTTTGATATTCGTTCAACTGATGAGGCACCCAATTTTTCAAATTTTTGACTTTTCCGATTTCCTTGAGATGGTTCCCAATTGTGTGTGGAGTGACCCCAAAGTGGGTTGCTAATTCTGCCTCGGTTGTTCTGGGATTCGCTTCTACCAGCTTCTTTAATTCGTCATTGTCGAGACTAACATGGCGTCCGCGGCCTTCTTTGTCATTAAGTTCCTCGTCGCCTTCCCGGAATTGTTTGAACCAGCGCTGAGCTGCTCGAACTTCAGCTTTGCCTTCCCCAAAAGCTTGATTGATGTTTTGGGTCGCTTCTATCACATTTTGGAGAAACGTTGAAGAGTTGAGGAGTCCAATAGAGCTTAAAAGCTTAAATGCTTAGTGAAATTGATAAAATTCATGGTGACACTTATTTCTAAACCGCTGGGATACTGTAATTAGGCGAAGGAATTGAATTTTGAAAAAAAAAGTTGAAAAATAGCTTCTCTATTTGAAAGTTTAGCTTTTAGAGTCTAAAGCCTAATATATATGTCGTAACCGATTATGAATTTCAGCCGATTATGAATGAGGGTATTTCCGGGCATCTAATCAAAAAGTCACCCGCATAAAAAATGTTCATAATACATATATTTTATAATAAATTTTTGAAATTAGCTCATTTGGTTCAGTAGAAAATTTTTTTTGAGCCCCCAAAGTTTAGGTTCAAAAATGCCTATAAAAAATTTTCTACTCAGCCAAAAAACTTGCCTAATAGCTCATTTTGTAGCCAATTTGATGTAGTTTCTTAAAGTAAAGCCATCTAAAACAATTTGTCGTTGAAAGTAGGAGAAAGAGGGCGAGGAACAAATTCAGGGCAATTCTCAAATGTGAAAACAGCGACCGAGTTCAACTGAAGTCATTCCTCGCCCTCTTTCTCCTAGCTTTGAAAAACAAATGTTCAATGTAGCTTTACTTTAAGAAACTACATCAAATTGGCTACAAAATGAGCTATTAGGCAAGTTTTTTGGCTGAGTAGAAAATTTTTTATAGGCATTTTTGAACCTAAACTTTGGGGGGCTCAAAAAAATTTTCTACTGAACCAAATGAGCTAATTTCAAAAATTTATTATAAAATATATGTATTATGAACATTTTTTATGTGGTTGATTTTTTGATTGGATGCCCGGAAATACCCTCATTCGTTAGCGGCTGAATTTCGTAAACGGCTACGACATATACATAATAGCTTTTTCTGCTTAGAGGCTCAACTTTGGTGCAGTGAGTAGTGTGCTTTTCTGCAGTCGGCAAGAACCGGGTTTGACTCCCGGCTGTGTCGTGACTTTTGCTTTTTTAAAAAAAACGAAATATTAGATGCAAAACTACATAGAATTCGAAGCCTAACAAACTAAAAATCACGTGAATCAGCCCACGGGAAGCCGAGAAGCTCGTGTACTTCGTTTTTCTATATTTTGTAGCTACTGTATAAATGTCGAAATCTAGGTACCAACAACTGAAATCTCATGAGATTCTCATTTTTCAGTACCCGGATGTGACATGTATGCAGACGATGGTTGACAGTGTGATGTCGGTCGCTAGAAGCGCACAAGACCTCAAAAGAACGGTGGTCGATTGGCAAATTGCGTCAAGTGTATAGAAAATGATCCGTCGACGTCCTAATCAGATAAAATGGTGACCAGTAATCCCTGTGTTCTTATTTTTTTGATCTTTAATAATCTGGCTCTAGTCCGTTAAAGAAAGATTTTCAATGAATCGTAATATCTGACTAAATTTAGTTCCCTATCTCTTTAAATTTGGTTCTTGGGGTCAATAACTGTTGAGGGTCAATAACTGAGGGTCAATAACTGTTTAGAGATTATATTATTGTAAGTTTTTATGTAGTTTATGTAGTTTATCTAGTTTTATGTGGTTTGATGTAGTTTTATGTGGTGTAGTTTGATGGTTTGATGTAGTTTTATATAGTTTTATATAGTTTTATATAGTTTTATATAGTTTTATGTAGTTTTATATATAGTTTTATGTAGTTTATCTAGTTTTATCTAGTTTAGGCTTTCAAATAAAGCCTAATAAAGGTTGGATTGATCAATCGTGAGAGAATTGAGAGAGCAAGAGAGCAAGAGAAGAAGTCTTTACTCTTTCTTGATCAATCAATAGCTTCTGAATAAGATTGTTGAACAATAGAACAATATGAACAATAGAACAATAGTTGAATAACAACAATGAATAATAGAAAAAAACTGAAGTTTAAAAGCTCTACAACCCTTGAGAGATCTAGAAAACAAAGTTTGGGAAAAAAGTGAAAAAACCGGACCGGAATCGATCGGTGACCGGGATCGAACTAGGGTCGTGAGATTGCGAAGCGAGAGCTCTACCGGTGGACCACGAGGACCAGTTTAAAAGCTCTACAACCCTTGAGAGATCTAGAAAACAAAGTTTGAGAAAAAGCTTAAAAAAATCGCTTGACATATCTCTGCCCGGGATCGAACCAGGGTCGTGAGATTCAGAAGCGAGAGCTCTACCAGTGTACCATCATGACGCATCCCATCTGCTCAAAAAAGGCTTTTTATAGAAACCCCTTAACGGACTAGAAGCTTCTCTTTTTTCAAAATTTTTAACTACGCAAACTTTTCTATTTATTTCATGTTCAGCATTTACAAAAATTTGCTCAAAATTTCCTACGATTATCTATTTTTCTGTTTTTCTCTTTTTTTACCTAATCCTTAAACCAATCCTCTTCTTTTTTGATTCGCAAAACGTTGTGATTCCTTATATTTTCACGAATTCGAGTCAAGTTTATTGAAATTTCGTTTATTTTCTGTTCATTTTCTGTTTATTTTTCTGTTTATTTTTCTGTTTTCATTTTTATTGCTGTGAATAAGAAAGAAAAGGAGATAAAGTTTGTACAGTGAGAATTTGAACACATTTATGAGAGATCGGTTTTGATGAACAATGAAAAATAACTCTTAGACATTGTCATGACGAATTTAACCCTTTGTAATTCTTTGAGCTGACGCCTATCCCGTTCGATTTGCCATGGCATTAATATAGATTCAGAATAGCAACACCTAGAAACTCAATTTGGCTTCTGCGAAAAGGCTTGGGAAGAGCTGGAGCTTGGGAAGAGCTGGAGCTTGGGAAGAGCTGGAGCTTGGGAAGAGCTGGAGCTTGGGAAGAGCTGGAGCTTGGGAAGAGCTGGAGCTTGGGAAGAGCTGGAGCTTGGGAAGAGCTGGAGCTTGGGAAGAGCTGGAGCTTGGGAAGAGCTGGATCTCCTATACCTTCTCGCCATGATTGACGCTTTTCTACGACGTTTGGACGCCTGTGTAAAAGCTATTGGAGATCTGTTTGAAAAGGAATAGTTTCTATGAATTGTTATGAGACAATAAAAGTGATTTTTAAGAAAAATCTTTAACCTTTTGAGTTATACAGAGACTTTTTTATACGTAACGGTAATTTTGGCCCACCCTGTATTGTGAAACTGAAAAGGTCTAGCTTTCATTTCTGTATCATTTCTGTATGGTATCAAAAATAGTCCTGAATCTCAGCTTTCATTTGATATTTAAATGAACACTGTAGCATAAACAAGTGCCGAGAAAAATCCCAAGATCCAGCTCCTGAAATGGGCACTCTTCCCTATATTTGTCTAAAAGTGACACCGGGAAAAACCTCAGAATTCATCGCAAACAAAAAGCAGAGAAATGGCAAGGGTATCATTAGAAAGAGTAAAAACAGGGCTACAACTTTGTAATACATCGTTTGGCACGTTCTTGTGGAGTGAATATGAGAAAAATCGGAAAAATCGGAAAAATCGGAAAAATCGAAATTTTGACGAATTTTTCTTGTCTGGATAACAACTAAGAATTGTCCGAATTCGGATTTTTGATTTTAAATCAAAAGTGTTTTCCCATAGTAGCGATGTGTGCCATGCGGATTCGATGTGTGCCAAGTTAAGCAACGTCAGCGCAGGGTAGTCGTCGGTTCGATTCCCTTCCGAGCGCCCCAGCCCGGCCATCGGAGTATCATCCACTACGACAACCACACTTCTGCCTCAGTACCCGCGGTCTCTTTGCTCTCTATCGGTATCGAGAGATCAAGCAGCTAAGCAACGAATAGTAGCTAAACTACAAATAGCAGCTAAACTATGAATAACCGCTAAACTACGAATAATAGCTAAACTACGAATAGCAGCTAAGCAACGAATAGCAGCTAAACTATGAATAACAGCTAAATTACGAATAGCAGCTAAACTGAGAGAAGAGAATGGCGATAATCTGCCTCTGCGATAATCTGCTTCTGCGATAATCTGCTTCTGCCATAATCTACCTCTGCGATAATCTGCTTCTGCGATAATCTGCTTCTGCGATAATCTGCTTCTGCGATAATCTGCTTCTGCGATAATCTGCTTCTGCGATAATCTACCTCTGCGATAATCTGCTTCTGCGATAATCTGCCTCTGCGATAATCTGCTTCTGCGATAATCTGCCTCTGCCATAATCTGCTTCTGCGATAATCTGCCTCTGCGATAATCTGCCTCTGCGATAATCTACCTCTGCGATAATCTCTTCATTAGCCGGAGAAGTTCTTAAAAGGTAGTTCTTAAAGACAGTAGTTCTTAAAGACAGTAGTTCTTAAAGACAGTAGTTCTTAAAGACAGTAGTTCTTAAAAAGGATATGGAGCTTTTAGAAAAGAAGAAAACAGGTTACTGCAATAAGCAGCTTACTATAGAAAAATCTTTATTTACACATATAAAAATTAGAGGTACTCTTGGAAAATCTTTTGCAATAAGTGATAGTTTTTGTCTCCCCTTTCCTCGCATCCTTCAATGGTCACATCGATTGGATCGAATGGATTAAGCTGAAAAAGATTTAGAGATTTTATCTATAACATTCTATTTCTCGATTTTATCTTCTCTTTTTTGATTTTACCTGCTCAAACTCTTGATTTAACTCCTCCGGCAATTTCAAACTGCTTTTTGCCCATGTGAGCTGAATCGAATCTGGCGAAAGGATCTCTTTTTGAAAGATTGCATCTTCGGCCAGAATTTGTCTGTTCCTGAAACAAATACTGTGGTCAGATCTAAGCTAAATATAAAATTTTGCATTTAACTCTTCAACTTTGCTTTCACATCAATTGCAAAAGATTTTGACAGTTCAAGAGCTCAAGGTACGCAAGTTACTGTAAAACCAAGGCCTTGTAAAAGAAAGTTACCATAGAGTACTGTAAAAGTACTGTAAAGTACTGTAAAGTATTGTAAAAGTACCGTAAAAGTGTTGTAAAGTACTCTAAAAGTGCTCTAAAAGTACTGTAAAGTACTGTAAATGTACTGTAAAAGTACTGTAAAAGGACTGTAAATACTGTAAAGTACTGTAAAAGTACTGTAAAGTACTCTAAAAGTACTGTAAAGTGCTCTAAACGTACTGTAAAATACTGTAAGGTACTGTAAAGTACTGTAAAAGTACTGTAAAAGTACTGTAAAGTACTGTAAATGTACTGTAAAGTACTGTAAAAGTACTGTAAAGTACTCTAAAAGTACTGTAAAGTGCTCTAAACGTACTGTAAAATACTGTAAGGTACTGTAAAGTACTGTAAAAGTACTGTAAAGTACTGTAAAGTATTGTAAAAGTACTGTAAGGTACTGTAAAAGGACTGTAAGGTACTGTAAAGTACTGTGAGGTACTGTAAGGTACTGTAAAATACTGTAAAGTATTGTAAAAGTACTGCAAAATACTGTAAAGTACTGTAAAGTATTGTAAAAGTACTGTAAGGTACTGTAAAGTACTGTGAGGTACTGTAAAGTACTGTAAAAGTACTGTAAAGTATTGTAAAAGTACTGCAAAGTACTGTAAAGTACTGTAAAGTACTGTAAAGTATTGTAAAAGTACTGCAAAATACTGTAAAGTACTGTAAAGTACTGTAAAGTATTGTAAAAGTACTGCAAAATACTGTAAAGTACTGTAAAGTACTGTAAAGGACTGTAAAGTGCTGTAAAGGAATGTAAAGTACCGTAAAAGAGCTGTAAAAGTACTGTAAAGTACTATAAAGTACGGTAAAGTACTGTAAAAGGACTGTAAAGTACTCTAAAAGTACTGTAAAGTGCTGTAAAAGATGATCAGGCTTACTGTAAAATATTAGTCTGCTTCTTACATCTCAAAACACCCACCAAATCTCAGCCACCACTTCATGACTGCAAACGAACGACAAATTCTCGGCGTAGTGCACGATTTGACGATCTTGATAAGCCTAAAATCACTTACAGTTAGAAAGTTCGAAAATTTGCTAACTATAAGTGCTTTAATTTTAGGTTCAATCGTTTATTATCATTTAATATTAACTATCTTGATCTACTAAAAGCCCACAAACGCCTTTTGCCATTGGCAATTACTATCTCGCAATTACTATCTCGAAATTTTGCACTACGCTACTGTAAAAGGACTGTAAAGTACTCTAAAAGTACTGTAAAGTGCTGTAAAAGATGACTACGCACAAAAGCATTTCAAAAATCAGATTTCGATATTCTAAAAATGGCTCCATCACACAAACGCCTTTTGCCATTGGCAATCTAACTTTGAACTCAAATATCTTGGTGTTGGGCTGTTCAAATTCAAATGTTTTTGATATCATTAGATGCGCCAAGTCTTTCTCTATCGATTGGTAGAAAAACTATTGCAATTGAATAGTCCAACACCAAGAAATTTGAGTTTGAAGTTGAATTGGCAAAGGGCGGCCGCTTATGCGCGCCCCGCCATTGGCAAACTTTGAGCTCAAATTTCTTGGTGTTGGGTTGTCCAATTTAAATAGTTTTTATGTCAATTGATAGAGAAAGACTTGGCGCATCTAATGATATCAAAAACAGTTTAATTGGACAGCTGAACACTAAGAAATTTGAGCTCAAAGTTGGATTGCCAATGGCAAAGTGGCAGGGCGCGTCTCGAATGTCCCATAATCTTTTCTAAATGCTTGACAGCGCGCTAAAAATTCTGATCGCTTTAAATCTACCATATTTCTTCGAATAGAAGACCGGGTAAAGAGTATGATCGCGTACTCCTGCGTAGCAGCCCTTTTTAAAATTTCTTTTCTGCATAAAAGCTTTCAATCAAGTGCTATAGAGCTGGAAAATGGCTCAAAAATCTGTTAGCTCATGTGGTATTTTTGAGCCATTTTCCAGCTCTATAGCACTTGATTGAAAGCTTTTATGCAGAAAAGAAACTTTAAAAAGGACTGCTACGCAGGAGTACGCGATGAGTACGCGACGATCCTCTTTACCCGGTCTTCTATTCGAAGAAATACGGTATACTTTTTTTTTCTTAATTTTAAGATCTTTTTAGCATATTTTAGCATTTTACATTACATTTTCAAAGAGAAAACAACACAAAAATTCAACGATTCAATACAGAGTGACCAGAAATCCCCCATCCTTTTTTTCTAGACTCATATTTGTGTTTTTTCTAGACGAAAACGATTAATTTATTTTTTTTAAAACGAAAATAAACATCATTTTCTGTATATGTTATGGAACTTGCTCCCAAACGACATACGAGAAATTCAGTCGCTTTTCATATTCAAGAAACGTATCGATGCTTTAGATCTAGTGGCTCTTTGCCGTAAGTAATTGGCTTATTGATTTCAGTATGTATTGTATGATTAAGTATCACTGTGCATTTCTCTATGATTTCTTTCACTTTATCGTTTGAATAAAGTATTATTATATGTTTAAGATTTCATGATCAAAGCATCGATAGATAATTTTTTATGAATGCTTAAAAATGGCTTCAGAAAAAATAACGAGCTTCGATTGAAATGGGGTTTTTGATAGGGGTTTTTATCGATAATCTTATCGAAAATCATATTTTTTTTGAACGAAACCTACTTAAACACAACAAAAACTTAACTTTTAGAAAAAAAAACTGCAAAAAAACATGTAATTTGTGGTTAAAATTTGTAAATAAACTCTATTGGAGTTGATTTTATTAATTAGAAAAAAAACGAAAGAATTGTATTTATTTAAAGATAAAGTTGATATCTCTCGATAGAAAAAAAGCCAGCAGAGATACCGTATTTCTTCGAATAGAAGACCGGGTAAAGAGTATCATCGCGTACTCCTGCGTAGCAGTCCTTTTTAAAGTTTCTTTTCTGCATAAAAGCTTTCAATCAAGTGCTATAGTGCTGGAAAATGGCTCAAAAATACCACATGAGCTAACACATTTTTGAGCCATTTTCCAGCCCTATAGCACTTCATTGAAAGCTTTTATGCAGAAAAGAAATTTTAAAAAGGGCTGCTACGCAGGAGTACGCGATCATACTCTTTACCCGGTCTTCTAATCGAAGAAATACGGTAATTGTTAACTTTCTTTCTTCATTGATGTCAAAGAAGGTTTTTAAAATAAAAGTTTACTCTCAAAAGTTTAATTCTGTCTACCTACAAAGCTTTTTAGCTGCTACAAAGCTACAAAGCTACAGGGTGCGTCATAATTATTGCAACAAGAGTTCAAGGACCGTTTGTGATGTCAAGAATGTGATGTCATGGGCGTGTAAAGCCAATAACAATCAAAATTGGACCTTCATGCAAGGTGGAGCTCCCGCTCACACGAAGAAGACGGCTCAGGGCTGGTGTGTGGCCAACTTTCCCTCAGTGATCACCAAGGATGAATGGCCTCCAAACTCACCGGATCTCAATATGATGGACTTTTCTATTTGGGCAATCTTAGAGGCTAATGTCTGCTGTCTAATGGCTGTCTAATGGCTGTCTAATGGCTGTCTAATGGCTGTCTAATGGCTGTCTAAAGAAGAGGTCTTTGACCAAAGGATGAAAGGCGACTCCTCAAGATGACATTCGGGCCGCAGTGGAGGCATATCCGAACCGATTAAGGGCTGTTATCAAGGCAAAAGAATGAAAAGCAAAAGAAATATCGAATGATCTCTTGTTTCCTTATTTGTTACTGTTAAATAAAGCTATTTCTGTTTAAAAATCTTCTTGTGAAAAATCTTCAGTGAAACTTCTTGGTGTGCAATGAGTATCTTGTTGCAATAATTATGACGCACCCTGTAAAATTATCGGGGCACTTTGTAAAAGTCTGTTTGACAGTTTTATTGTGACGGTAAACGGCTAAGCGACACTTTCTACCTCGAGCAATCCCGCAAATTTCCCGACCGAATCGATTTTCGGTCGAATTTTCATGTTCTCCGTGAAAGTGGTAGGGAGTTGGCTGTAATTCATTCGAATTGAGGTGGGTAATGCAAAATATTGAAGCCGATCCACGCAAGCAATCAAGAATCCATAAAGACGAGGACGTCTAAGGAATTGGCCGATCCACGTGGCAACTTGAGTACCCTTTTCGATGGTTTCAAGTCGATTGGATCTAAAATCTTTGGATTGGATCTATTGGATTGGATCTATTTTTGAGTTTCCGCTGAGATTCATCAGGAAATCCCAGTAACTACTGAGCCATTACAGGTTCTTTACAATAAAACAGTAATTACAGTAAGACCTGACCCACTTAGCACTTTGGGCAGCCAGATAAGCCTCTAAAGGATCCATCGGAATTGATGGATCGTGTGGTGCGTAGAGTGGACGACGAATGAAACCGTCAAATGTGTCATTTGTCCACACTAGTAGAGCCACGTCAACGCATGTGTTGCTAAGGAAACGTTTCGTCAGTGCGGATTGCTAGAAATTTGAGTTGTCAACATTTTTGCAAAGTTGAAATAATCAAAATTTGCTGAAATAAGCTTTGGCTTATTGAGCAAGCTTAAAGCTCAAGCTCAAGCTCAAGCTAAAGCTTAAAGCTCAAGCTCAAGCTCAAGCTTAAAGCTCAAGCTCAAGCTAAAGCTTAAAGCTCAAGCTCAAGATTAAAACTCAAGCCAAGCTAAAGCTAAAGCCAGCTAAAGCTAAAGCCAAGCCAGCTTAAAGCTCAAGCTCAAGCTCAAGCTCAAGCTTAAAGCTCAAGCTCAAGCTTAAAGCTCAAGCTCAAGCTCAAGCTAAAGCTTAAAGCTCAAGTCAAAGCTTAAAGCTCAAGCTCAAGCTTAAAGCTCAAGCTCAAGCTTAAAGCTCAAGCTCAAGCTTAAAGCTCAAGCTCAAGCTTAAAGCTCAAGCTCAAGCTAAAGCTTAAAGCTCAAGCTAAAGCTTAAAGCTCAATGATCGAATTTCCGCTTTATAATTTTCGGTAACCCTGTAGTAAGACTCTTAAAGCTTGAACCTTAACTTAAGTTCAGCTATTTATAAAATAAGCTTAAGTTTAGATATGGCGCTAAGTTTATAAGCATTTTATTCATAGCTTAAGGTTATAACCATTTTATTTTAGCGTATTCTTTCAACGTGTTACCGTCAATGATGCATCAATTGCCAGTACTTCAAACAAAACGATCGAATCTTCATTCTCTTCATTCTCTTCAAGAAACTTTTTCAAGCCAACTGTGATGAGATCCTCGTTTTGATCAACGTAAGTGAGCTCGACCTAGAGAAGCCAAAAAAAAATTGAGTAATTGAGTCTGGAGGTCGATTTTTAGATGATTATAGCAAATCTTGGATGATTATAGCATTAAAAGAAACGGTTTTTACACGATTATAAGGCTATAAGGTTAATTATTGGGTTGGGGAGAATGAGTCGGCGCCAAACTTTAAAGGGACTTTTTGCACACATAAAGCCTTCTTTAAACATACGTTTGGTTTCATCAAAAGGATCCACTATTTCTCTACAAAATCACTTTTGAGAGATTCCACAAAGCTTTTCTTTCGTGGAGTTTATGAACTTCCAAACGCAGCTGGTTAAAATGGCAAAGGGCCGACCATCATTTGAACAGTTTCTTTCACATAAACCTCTTTGGTGTTTATATAAAAAGAGGCATTCAATTACCCATTTGCAGGAAGATCCCACCAATGGTTTTCCGATGACAGTTTGTATTTTGTGAAAAATGGCTTTTCTTGAGCGGGGCGCTGTTTGAATTTTCTTTTAATGTTGATTTTGTAGAGATTAGTTAACCATTCTACTCTACCGCATATTATTTACGAGTCGAATAGAAGTTTTAGACTTTTTTGATTTTCGGCGCCGACTCATTTTCCCCAACCCAATAGATTAATAGTGATTATTAAATTGAGTACTTTGCTATCTTTAGTGACCATTTTAGAAATGTTGAATCAACTAAAATATAAAAAAAATTTGTTTTATTGAAAAGCTCGGTCTTTTTTCTACAAAATGCTTCTCAATTCTTGGAAAATTTGTGAAAAAATGCTTATTTTGTGAAATCTCAAAGCGATTTGTCAAAATTAATAGTGATTTGACTCCTTTCTTCTATAGAAATCTATTTTCATGTAAATAGAAAAAAGATAGAACATAAAGGAACTATAAAAGAGCTATAAAACGTTAAGAATATAGGCAAATTTTCCCTATATTTCCCATAATGATGGTGCGGAGCGTTGCGTAGTCTAGCTTTGGACGCGTTTTTCTCGACACTGGTTTATGCTACAATGCTCGTTTCGGTATCAAAAAATAGCCCTGAATTTCAGCTATTTTTTGATACCAAAGACGTATTTTTTGGAAGTACGGGCGCTTTGAAAAAAATGAAATACTGAAAAAACTTTTGCGACTACGCGACTGTACGAGGGGGTGGAGTAGTATTATAGTATTTACGGTAAGTGATCTTTCTAAAAATACTACATGGAATTTGATAAAGACTACTAGAGACTTTGAAAGTCGACGCTACTTTGTAAGTCGACGCTACTTTCAAAGACGACGCTACTTTGCAAAGTCGACGCTACTTTCAAAGACGACGCTACTTTCAAAGACGACGCTACTTTCAAAGACGACGCTACTTTCAAAGACGACGCTACTTTGTAAGTCGACGCTACTTTCAAAGACGACGCTACTTTCAAAGACGACGCTACTTTGTAAGTCGGCGTTACTTTGTAAGTCGACGCTACTTTCAAAGTCATACTCCGCAACTCAATAGCCAATCCCAACTATTCAAACCTGTTGCAAGTAGGCAACTCGTCCACGGCATTCGCGGAAATTCCTTAAATTCTTCGAGATTCTATTGAAAAGTTCAGTGTTTAAGAAGCGAATTTTATCAATTGCTTCAACAATCGGTAAATGTTTAGCAATTTCGAGAATGAATGGACTGGCTAGGGTTGGCGGATTCATTTCTGGAATATCAGAAATCGTGAAATGAATAGTACAATAGTACAATAGTACAATGAATAGTACAATACAGTAGTACGATAGTAAAGTAGGGTACGATAAAGTACTCTTTTCAATAGACTACAGCAATCTTTTAGCACTATAAGAAACAGTATCCTTTTTAAAGTCGGATAGAATTGAAAGCTTGTAGGACAGCAATATTTTAGCAATAAAATACGCTACTTGATACTGTACAGTACAGTAAGTACAGTACAGTACTCTTTTCAATTTTTAGTCTAGTAATCTAACAGTAGTAACAGCAAAAAGAATGAATTTTGCCTAGCTGGCTAGTTATATATGGAAAAAAGCAATCTGATAGCAAAAATCGGTGCTAAAAAGTGCGGTCGATAAACAGAGATTGGGCAAATTTGAGAGATTCGGGAGAGAAAAACGCACGAGCTGTAAAAAAACTTGCCCAAGAAAACGAACCAAAGGCTGGCAGGGTTTTGCTTGCAAAAGTTAATGAATCTGCAAAAGAAATGGGTTTTGAAAGAAGTATGGAACTGAGTAATGTTCTGGGAAAAGCCAGGTAAAGCCAGGCAAGGCCAAGCAAAGCCAGGCAAGGCCAAGCAAGGCCAGGCAAGGCCAAGCAAAGCCAGGCAAGGCCATGCAAAGCCAGGCAAGGCCAAGCAAAGCCAGACAAAGCCAGACAAAGCCAGGCAAGGCCAAGCAAAGCCAAGCAAAGCCAAGCAAAGCCAGACAAAGCCAGGCAAAGCTAGGCAAAACCAAGCAAGGCCAGACAAAGCCAGGCAAAGCCATGCAAAACCAAACAAAGCCAGGCAAAGCCAAGCAAGGCCAGGCAAAGCCAAGCAAGGCCAGGCAAGGCCAAGCAAAACGAAAAGCCGGATCCAAATTCAGGCAAAGCAAAGCCTGACTAGGCAAGCCAGAAATTAGCTCAGAACCTCAGATCTGACTATGAAGACCTCGCCAAAGAAAGCAATTGAAGTTAGAGATACTCAAAGCTACTCAAGATACAATTTTACTGCTCAAAACATTGAAATAATGCGAAAAAGTTGATCCAAGGAGAACCGAACTCCGATGGGATTCGAAAAACGGCAGACAGCAGCACTACCACTGCGCCATCAAGTCACTACTTTGGTGAGCGACGGTACTCATAATTCACCAATCTGATCATCCCTTACAAACTCATAATTCACCAATCTGATCCTCCCTTACAAACTCATAATTCACCAATCTGATCAATCTAATCGTTCCCTAGTCGATCAGTGCAATTTCAAATGCGTTTTTACAGAAATCTAGATCATTTAGGCAAAAACTAAAAACGCCATCGTGTTGCCCGTATCGATTTGCGTAATTCATATAGCTTTGGTTCGTAATTCATAATGCATACAAATAAACACGAAAAAGGGACCGATGAAAAGCAAGACGATATAATCTATGCAATATATGGGTAGCATAGATAACGTCAAGAATCCACTAGAGTTTCAAGAGCAAGATCATCTACAGATAATTGTTAAAGGCATTCATCTCGATCCCCTTTTTTCTGGTCCTTTGAAATCGGCTCTCTACGAGACGCCTCCAGAAGCGGGCCTTTTCTCATACGCCAACCTTTCCGTTTCCAACCATTAACCTTCGTTTCCAACAGCTAACCTTCCGTTTCCAACAGCTAACCTCCGTTTCCAACAGCTAGCCTTCGTTTCCAACAGCTAACCTTCGTTTCCAACAGCTAATCTTCCGTTTCCAACAGATAGCCTTCGTTTTCAACAGCTAACCTTCCGTTTCCAACAACTAACCTTCGTTTTCAACAGCTAGCCTTCGTTTCCGACAGCTAACCTTTGTTTCCAACAGCTAACCTTCGTTTTCAACAGCTAACCTTCGTTCCCAACAGCTAACCTTCGTTTCCAACAGCTAACCTTCCGTTTCCGTTTCTAGCTCCCACAGTTTCTTTTTTAATCGAGTTATTAAATTGTGAAACCCCCTTATATTCGTAATATTCCCACCTTGCCTAGCTAGATATTCCCACTGCGCAATTTCAATTGATTTGATCAATTAAGCAATCAAATCAATTGATGCAATTGATTTGATTGCTCTTTGATTCTTTCTTGCGGTATCTTTTTATCTTTTAGGTGTGTCCTGGGTGATTATTGTGATCTTTTTTTGTTGCTATTCAACTGTATAAAGCGTCTATACAATCATCGCCCAATTTGGACACTTGAATCAATTTTGCTTGTAACTTTGATCATTTTCAACTCTTTCAATGTCAAGTGGTGATTATTGTGTTCTTGTTTTGTCGCTATTCAACTGAATAAAGCATTTAAAGGTTTCGAGATTATTGGACTCTCTCAAAACTCTGCGGAGTCGATTCCAAATTCTGGTAGTTCTTATTGGAAAAGAGTTATGCACAAACGTATTACTGGAATTTCTAAAATCAAAGAAACTCTCCTTACGGTATCTGTCTGTCTGTCTTTTTTAATGAATTGATATATAGTTATCCTTAAGCTTATTCTTAAATCTTAAATCCTTCTGAATATGGTTCCAATGTTCTCCAAATCCGCATTTCTTATGCATTTACCTAATAAAACCGACAATTACACAAAAATCTTTAACTACTACTACAAAATACATCACAAGTTACTAATTACTCTTTTTTACTGCCTTATTAATTGTCTTTTTGTCTTCAAAAGCCTCAATCGCAGCAATCCCCAGCAATCCCCAGCAATCCCCAGCAATCCCCCGCAATCTTTTTCTCCGATCGACTACCCGACACTCCTTTGCACCCCAGCGTTCGCTAGGGTTATTGAACGGCTTTGTGCGACATTGTGAACCACACATTTCCGCTTCGTCAGCTCTCGCTCAACTCTCATTCTTTTCCCATAAGCCATACGTTTTATTTACAAGAATTTGCTTATTCACTGCTTATTCACAAATAGTTATCCTTAAGCTTATTCTTAAATCATTATAAAACATTTCTTTCTTTCCTTTATAACAACCTTGAGAATTTTGAAAAAAAAACATTGAAAAGGCTCTTTTTCTTTTTTATTTTCGAAATCTACTTGCATTTTGATTAAACAAAAAACTTTTACTAGTATTTTAAAACATTATATTCTTTATTTCTTGTGAGAATATTGTTTTCTATCATTTCTATGCTTTTTTTAGCTTTTTGTAGCTTTTTGTAGCTTTTTTAAGCTTTTTTTAGCTTTTTTTAGCTTTTCTTGTGACTTTTTGCCATATGTTTTGCTTAGATTTGATTTTAAATATGAAATTTTTGGACTTTTCCATAATCTAGATTTGAAATATTAACATTTAGCTCAAAGATTTCAAATAATAATATTTAGCTCAGTGTTAAAGCTTATCAAAATGAAGCATAGCCTTAAACTAGAAACTAGATTTCTATTAGGTGCGTGAAAAAGTAATCCACGTTTTTTTATTTTTATCTGATGACCAAATAAGACGCTGTCTTCACTTTTCGAAGTGTAGTCAGTCATTCTCTACGACCTTTTCCCATCGATCAGCAAGATTTCAGCTTTTGCAAGCCGGCTTTTGAATTCATTCAGATCAGATCCGAGCCTTTGAACGGCTCTTTTGAATTCAGAACTCTTTCCTCTTCAATTTCAACTTTTCTTGAACTTCTTGTCTTCAAGATTCTTCAGCTTCTGGTCTTCAAACTTCATCAATTTCTTGTCTTCAAGATTCTTCAACTTATTCTCTTCAAGATTCCTCGACTTCTTGTCTTCAAGGTTCTTCAGCTTCTTGTCTTCAAGCTTCATCAACTTCTTGTCTTCAAGATTCTTCAGCTTCTTGTCTTCAAGCTTCATCAACTTCTTGTCTTCAAGATTCATCAACTTCTTGTCTTCAAGATTCTTCAGCTGCTTGTCTTGAAGATTCAACTTCTTGTCTTCAAGATTCCTCAACTTCTGGTCTTCAAGATTCTTCAGCTTCTTGTCTTCAAGCTTCATCAACTTCTTGTCTTCAAGATTCCCCAACTTCTGGTCTTCAAGATTCTTCAGCTTCTTGTCTTCAAGCTTCATCAACTTCTTGTCTTCAAGATTCCTCAACTTCTGGTCTTCAAGATTCTTCAGCTTCTTGTCTTCAAGATTCTTCAGCTTCTTGTCTTCAAGATTCCTCAACTTCTTGTCTTCAAGATTCCTCAACTTCTTCTCTTCAAGATTCCTCAACTTCTTGAGATTCCTCAACTCATTTTTTTCAAATCAGGTAGTTGTGAGATATGGGTATGCCTCACAACTACCTGTTTTGCAAAAAAACGTTGAATTTGCTTTATGATCGAAAATCAATTCGATAGATAATTTCGGTTTGAGTCTTTGTGAGAATTGGCGAGAGTTGGCGAGAGTTGAGGTGAGGCTGAGCGTTGGTGTCATTGGATCATCAACTCATTTCTTTCTTTTTCTCCTTATTCTCCTTTTCTCCTTTTTCTGCTTATTCTCCTTTTTCTCCTTATTCTCCTTATTCTCCTTATTCTCCTTTTTCTCCTTTTTCTCCTTTTTCTTCTTATTCTCCTTTTTCTCCTTTTTCTTCTTTCAGTTTTCCTTTTTGCAATCACTCATCGCTGGCATCGCTTAAATGAGGTTTTTATGATTCATAGAGTTGAGGATTTTGTGTAAAACTTAGAAATTTGACTGTATATACTTTGATAACAGTTTTAGTTGATTTACTGATTTCAGTTGATGTCAGCTGATGCATTTCTAATGTTTTTTAGCATTTAAGTCTGAGGAAAGTCTGTTTTTTTGTTGTTAAAAGATAAGAAATGGTTTTTGGTTGCGTTTTAAAACGTTGGCTTTAAAGTTTGTCTTTAAAGTTTGTCTTTAAAACTTGTGGACTTGATCGTAAGGATCTTTTTCTCCATTTTCTTCTCCTTTGAGTCGCTTTATTTACGCAATAAATCAAACTTTCGGACTTTTCCTTTCTCTGTGACATTTTCGATGAGATCCATTTCGAAAAAAACATGTGCGTTTGGGATTTGAAAGTGGCACGTTTAAGAAATGGAA